TCGTCGTCGCGCGGGCGAGGCGGGATGCTGGGGTGTTCGTCGGTGTCGTCGCGGTCCAGTGCTGCTGCTGCTGCCTCGTCTTCTGGAGTCGCGGAGCTGCGACCGCTGTTCACATAGCCACGTGCCTCGTTGCGTCGCTCGTCCGCGATCCACTGCTGTAAGGTGAGCCGTTCGTAGAAGAGAATATCACGCGCGGGAACAACCTCCTTGCTGTCCATGTCGAGGATGAGCCAACCCTTGTGCTCATTACTGAGGCCCAGATGGACCCCCCAGCGCGCGCGGTGAGCGAACTTGCCGATGGTGGCCGATGTGGGCCGGTACTGCACCATGCACCCACAGACCCTTAGCATGGAGGGGTCTCCCCTTGAGCCGGTCCACTTCATGTGAGGGGACAGGTTGTCCCTGTTGGCGGTGGTGGAGAGGAGGTTGTGCAGGCGCACCGCGTGGTTCATGGCGTAGGGCCAGAACTTCTTCGGCAGGCCGGACTGGTTCATGAGTGCGCGCACTTTTGTCATGAGGATGCGGTTAACCCTCTCTGTGACGCCTTGCTGCTGGTGAGCGTAGGGGAGTGAGATCTCATGCTTGATCCCCTTCTCTGTGAGGACACTCTCCAGTTCGTTGCTGCGGAATTCCTTAGCCCCATCACTCTACCAGATCTTCAGCTTCCTTCCTGACTGCCGCTGCGCGTGCGCGAGGAAGATGCGGAATACTTCCGGAGCCTTGGAGCGAGCGTCGACGTTGGCGATCCACACATGGCGCGAGTAGGCGTCAATGAAGGTGAGGGTATATTTCTCGCCGTTGATGCCGTCGAAGGTGAGCACGATGAAATCGCTGTATACTTTCTCCAACTTCTTGTAGCGGTTGGTGCTCGGCTCCAGGGAGGGGTAGGCGCTGTGGGAGAGAGCAGCTGTGGGGCAGACAGTGCAGGTGACTGGGTGAGGGGTGTTGTGTGGTTCTGTTCCGTCGGGGCGCAGCAGTGCTCCTGGCGGAAAGACTTTAGCGCGGAGGCAGTTGGCGAGGGTCTGACGCGAGGGGTGTCCTAGCCGCTGGTGCCAGAGATCATCTTCGGCGCGGATGCCGGAAGTGCGCTTGTAGCGAGCGAGGTATTCTGCCGCTTCTGCTTCCGTGATTTGCGGGATCTGGAGTGGGGGTTCTTCCTCTTCTCCTGGTTCCGCTTCGTTGTCCGGCTCCTCTGCTTCTGCTTCTGCTTCCCCCGTTGTCTCCCCTTCTGCAGGTGCTGTTGTGAGGTAGAGGGCGAGGAATTCGCGGTCGGGGATGATAGTGAGCTGAGTCGTGGTCCCTTCAATGAATCGAGCGAACGGATCTGGGCGGGAGATTGGACCAAGTGAGTCCCGCTGAGGAGTTGGCGGTACATTCCCCTCCTCAATCTCCGACCATCGATCACGCCACCGATAGGGGGAGGAGGGAGGTGAGCGGGTGCGCGGGGGTCGTCCGAGTGGAATGGCGACACGAGGGGATGGTTCTCCACGCTCAGCTTTCATCTCGCGTTCTATCGCTTCTTCTTCTTCTTTGGTGAGCGGAGCGTCCGCGTATTCGTCTCCTCCCCATCCGCCGGTGTTGCCCCATCCTCCCGTGGTGACAGCGCCGCTGGCGCTGGCTCCCCATGCTCCAGTGGCGGATCCCCAGGTTGCGCCTTCTTCTGGTTCGTAATCTTCATCTCCCCATGCGCCTCGTCGTGCTGACTCCTCGTCCCATCCAGCCGCGACACGTTCCTCAAACAGATTCTGTTTCTTTTCCGCCCGGGCCTTGTCTTCTTCTTCCTTGACGCTGAGCTCCTCAGGTGCGTCAGGATCTTTCCAAGCCGGGTCAATTTCGCGGCGGTAAACTTCGCGGGTGTAAGGACGTGGTCGTCCATCTTCGTCGAGGGTGGTGGTGTTAGCTTCCAGGACGAACCGGAGGTTTTCCGAGGATGGCGCTGTCCGCTCCTCACGCTGAAGTCCGAGGTCGTCGTTTGCTTCGCCGAAGATGCGGTAAGACGACACCGCGAGTTCTTCTGTAGTCATGCCTGTTGGTTCTGCCTCGGCGCTCTCCGCTTCCTGAATTGCCGCGTACTCCTTTTCGACTTGTTCTGTGCGGCTCGTCGTGGGTGTATGGCAGGTGGTGCAGAGTCCATTGATATCTGGCTCATGCAGGTTGATTTCGCGGGGATGTGGACTGCGGCGAACCCATGGTCGTCCGTCCGGGTGCTCCCATGATTCCTTGCCCATGTAGGCGAACTCAAGGGGGACGAGGTCCACGAGCTCGTCGGATGAAGCTTGGCAGGAAGGTACGTCGAAGTCGAGGACGTAGATACCGTTGATCGAGCGGGCTCGTCCGAGATATTTGAACGACTCGGGAGGGGTATCTGGAGGGGCGTATGTGAGAATGAGATCGCGTGTGGCGAGGTCCGTGGTGAGGATGACGCCGCAGTCGCGAAGTTGTCCTGCCGAGAGAAGATTGAAGCGAAGGTTTGGGACGTAGAGTACGTCGTTGAACGAGATGTGTGTGTTACTGTCTCGTGCTTGCAGGACCACGATGCCTTGCGCATTGGCGCGCAGTTGCTCGTTGTTGGCGACGGTGACATAAGTTGGGGGGGCGCGGCTCAGGTTCGAGACGTATCGCGTAGATCCCACCATGTGCTGTCCGCAGCAGCTGTCCAGGTACCAGGTGTTGTGGTTGTCGTTGTTGTTTCTGCGCAGAAGTAGCGCCAGTCGCGGGGTCACCAGGGTCGCCTTGTAGTGTCTGTGGAAGTGAGGGTCTTCGTCCTCCTTCCATCCCACCGGTACGTAGTGTTGATTGTCATGCGGCGGACTCTCCCGCAAGGTGATTGGCAGGTTCCAATCCTGCTCGTCTTCGTCATACCGGTAATAATAATCTTCAGTGAGAGGATTATTCCAACCCTCTTCTGGCTCAAGGAGTCTCCCTTGAATCTCATTTTCCTCGTCAGGTTCAGCAGTGCGACGTCGGCGCGTCGTCATATTTGCAATGATATTCCTAGGAGCTCCTGATTGAGATCCTTGAGTTTGCTGATGTTGATGTTGCGCAGGAGGACGAGGTGTCTGTTGCTGAGACTGAGGATGGCGAGCATCCTGTCGGCCGACCCAGTTGTTGTGGTGAGTGGAATTTGGGTGGCGATAGTTGGATCGGGACTTGCATCGATCCGTTGAGTGTCCGAAGACTTTGCATATTTTGCAATAATGGCGCCTTGGTTGTCGTCGCTCTTCACGGTTGTCAGCGTGGAAGGCGAGGCGCTCTCGGCGTGGCGCGGAGCTTGTTCTGCTCGAATCCATGTCCTGCTGTTCGGACAGGAGTGCGGCGCATAGCGCGGCTTCTGAGATGGTCCCTCGCTGTCGAAGTAGCGCTTTACAGGGCTTCCACTCTGGCCCGAGTCCTTCAAGGACTATGTTGACGAAAATCTCTTCCGAGATTGTACTCCCATGCTTCGTGATCTGGTCACGGATGTTGCGACAGCGGTTAATATACGGATTCGCTTTCTCCCCGTGCCCCATCTTTATCTCCAAAAGTTGCTGCAGAAGCCTGCTGGCGGTGACCGAATCCTTCGGCTGGTAAACTTCAACGAGGTGCTTCCAAGCTTCCAAGGCTGGAGCGTCGCTCTCTTTGTAGGAGCGAATGTTGAGTTGTTCCGCAGGCAACATGTTGCGTAGCAGCACACTGTAGGCCATGAGGGACTCGCTGTAGTACTGAGCCCTGGCGACTTCGGTGTTTTCCACCGGTTTAGGGTAGGAGCCGTCGAAGTAATGGTAGATCTGCGCCGTTTGTAGGAGGAGCTCAAGCTCGAAACTCCATGTGTAGAAGTTCTTGCCGTCCAAGGCGGCGGTAGTCTTGATTTTTGAAACGCTGAGGAAGCGTGCTTGCGCAGAGTTGATAGCTTCATCACTTGGACGGGGGGCAGTTGTTGTTGATTCGTGTGTGTCGAGGGAGAAGGTGTGCGCGGCGGTATCACGGCTTTTCTCAGCCGGTTGTCCAGGTTGTACTGGTTGGGAAGAGGTTCCCGCATCGCCTTTGCGCAGGTCTTGGAGTTCTTTCTCCATAGTTGAAAGTCGAGCGAAAAGTTGCTCGAGTGCGGCAGTGCCGATCGTAGTTGTCGCCTCATTTGTCGCAGCCGGGTTGGTTTGTCCTTCAGCCGTCAGATTGGCTTGGCCTCCGGATCCTCCGGCCATCTTGGTCTTGGATCGTGTGCCGCTTGCCGGATCTTGGTTCGGCGGATTTCAAGGAAGTGATGATGCGAAGAATCCCTGAGTAGCTCTCATACCATGTTACAATCCCAACTGGGACTTAGCAAAGGATCGCTCAGGGTTGATCGCAGAGTAGTGTTGCAGCGGAAGTTTGAATCTCAGGTCAGAGTGAATGTAAATGACTGAGTCGATAAAAGCATGCATACATCGCGCTTATATAAGAGTACAGGGGAATACGAAAAGACCTAGACTAGCCATGTACTCTAAGGGGTACATTCCCCTATTCTAACCAAATTCAAACCGTGCGGCGCGGGAACCCGTTTCAAACCTGTTCCCGCTCTTTTCACTTCAAATGTTTCTGCCTGCATCGGTCTTGGTCAGACGGTTGCTGCGTCGCTTCGACTCTTCTGACTCCTCGACTTCATACTCGGTAGAGTCGGCTCCTGCAGCATACAGGAATGCCTACTCATGCAATTTCATATCGTAACAGTAGGTAAAGGTTGACCTAAATGAAGTCAGAAAATTATAACACTCAACTCAAATATATAATGGCGGTTTTTAGCCTGTTTATGGATGAACATGTTTGGTTATTTAGCCCAGTTCCTTGGTGTTTAGGGGCCATTGCTTGAAATTAGTTAAGATCAATTGCATAATACGCATAATAGAATATGAAGATACAACACCAAAACAAAACACGCCTGGTGTAGATAGTGTAATGCGAACTTATTCGGAAGGCCCCGGGTTGGTGGAGGGACACACTTCCAGGCTTCACTCAGCCTTGATTCGCACCGATTAGGGACGTCCTTACCACACCCACGTGTAACCTGCAGCCTTAGCAGCTGCCTCAGCTTGCTGCGCAGCGAGCGTGGCGTTGTACGCACGAGAAGCCATAAGATTCGCCGCCGAGTCCGCGCTGTTCTTATTACTCACCGCCTTGCTGTATAAGATCTTCGCGTTGCTCACATTCACGGACTTCGCGGGAATAGACGCATTCGCGTAGTTCACGTCGGCCTGCGCCTGAGTCACCGCAGCCTTGGCGTCCTCATACGCCGCAGCGGTCTCGTCCAGCTCAAACTTAGCGTCGTCGATCACGTGCTGCTGCGCGGCGATTTCCTCCTGAACGCTCGCGGGGTCGTCCAGAACTTTCTGCTTCTTAGCGAGAAGAGCCTGCGCCCGCGCCGCCTGTTTAGTCATATCTGCCAGAAGAGCCTCCGCTTCGGCCTTCTGCGTTTTCGCCGACTCCAGATCATCTTGTGCGTCGGTCAGATCTGCGCCCGTGAGGCTCGGATCGGCAGCCCTCCGAGCCGCCTTGTAGACGTCGAACTTAAAGCCGGCGATAGCGGCCGTCTGGTCGTCAATGATTCGTGCCGCCATGGAAACCCGTCGCTTCGCGTCCGACACAGCCTGCTTCAGCGCCGTCTCGTTGCTGCTCTCCGCCACGATCTTATCGAGCCGCGCCTGCTGCTCCTCCGTGATTCCCTGCAGCGACTGAATTTTCGCGGCGGTATCGTTCGCCGCGGAGATCTTGCCGGCGAGGACGAGCTTCAGGCGGTTGACCAGCGGCGCCGCGTCGTTATACGCGGCGACGGCGGCGACGAGAGTGGCGTTCGCCGCGAGCAGCTCTTGAGCCCTCTGCGCCGCGGTCGTGTTGGCCTTGAGCGAGTCGTTTGTGCAGTTGGCGGCGAATGCGCGCGTGCTGCGAGCCTTGGTCACGAGGAACGGCTCCGTCTGCGCCGCGGAGTGGTTGACGGACGACAGCAGGCACGCGGCGACGGTCGCGAGGACCAGCAGGAGAGCCTGACGAGACGGGGCCATGATTTGATAGTAGCAACGAGACGTTGCTGACTTTGCGTGGTTGATGAGTTACAAGTCCTGAAGTATTGATGGTAGAAAATTCGATGTGAAGGGTTGGTCTCAGGTAAAATGGGTACTGGTAGTGGTTGAACTGCTCTTGTTGCTTGTATTTTTCGAACGACGACTTATGGGATTATCTACTCGCCGGACGAGAGGTAAGGCAAAGCAAGCATGTTTGTCGAAGTTCCTGAAGAGTGGGTAACCGAGTGGGGGAGGGGCATGCGCGGGTTGCGCGATTTGCGTAGGACAGCGGTAGCTTGGCGTCTCATATTGCCGCGTCGCGCTCATCTCGCGAAACCTCTGGGACATGTCGCGCACTGCTGAGCTTAGCAGATAAGTGCGGTGGATGGTGGATTGACCTCGTAAGGAAGCCAAAGAAGAAACTTGCAACCATCTGGTGAAGGACCGTTGTGCCCCCAGTCGCGTCGCCCCGCCCACCAGAAAGCTCCTCATTTCTCAGGAGCGGAGAGGTGAAACAGAGCTTTCGCCTGGACTGGTAGGCCCCGAAACGATTTCTGTCGGGAAGGATCATAGCCTAGCACTGCATGGCTTCGCAGGCACAACTAGGTTCTGTGGAGTCTGCTACGTCCAATTCCCAATGGCGATTTGAAGAAATCTGGGTTGGGGACAAGGAGAAGCAGAGGCGCCAGTCTTGCGATTGGAGGGCGTAGTTTTTGTCGCACTGCCGTATGGTGGCGATGGCGAGTTGGCCCACTGGAGCAAGCGAGTGTGGAAGTTGGGCGAAATTGTGGTTCAGTGTGGTTCAGTGGGTGGTGTAGGGTAGCTCGTGAGAGAAGGTTCCAGCCTCAAAAAACGTGAGAGCAGGAAATGACGTGGGGCGTGTTCGTTTCCGAACCTTGGCCAGGTCCACGGAGTGTTGTCACCGTAAACGTGGACCTCATCCACATGGAAAGCTCTCTGAGCAGTTTCATCCTGCATACAGTCTTATATTCGACAAGGACGATGTCAACTTTACAATGTTCTTATTCTGTGTTATCATCATGACTATCCTCAATTCAACCACTAGTCATGATTCAAATCAGTCCCCTTAGGCATAGCTAATATACACTCAAGTCCACAAATTATGGCGTAAATTCTCACAGGATGTGCATCTTTTCTATTACTATCCACCACTCAACTCACATAACACCAGCCCCTTCCTATAGGAGCCCTGACCCTTCTAAATTGTGAAGATTCCATTTTGTGAGGTGTTTCTATGTGGTGTAGAAGTCGACAGGACAAATCTGGGCTGAACGCGGTCTCTTATCTGGATGAAGTGCACTGACCCCATCATTGGAATACGGAGCACAGACATTCCCATCCCAACCAGCATTTCACCCTCGCGCAACTTCAGCCAAACCTCTCCACTCCCCGTCATCGCCGCCAGAAGCTGACGGAGCTTCGTTCCAAGACGAATAGAAATTCCAAACAGAACCAAGGCTTGAACCCAGAGGTTCCCCTCACTAGTCGCGAGGAGGAAACATATTCCCGCCTAGAGTATGCGGTCCCAGGGTTGCCTGTGAACTCCTTTGCCCCGGCCTGGCCTAAACATGTGGAACAGGGAGCACTCGCGACGGGCTCCAGCAAGGCTTCAAGGATTGGATCTTATTTGTTTTTAACGCGCCTGCCAGACCTCGAGTCAACTCCGTGTATCCTGGCGCAGTGGGGAAGTACGCGCGCCCAGAAGTTCAATTGTTGCACCAACTTCCCACCAGTGATTACCGAAAAAAATATTCAACTGCTTTAGAGTGAAGTGGGTCTACGAAATGCGAGGGGAAACCCAACCACCAGCACATGTGTGCAAGGCGGAGGTTTGGAGGGAGACGTGGAATTTTCACACGCAGGTGTCACGAAACCAGGAATCACCGGGAGGGACCTTTTCCACGTTTGGGCGGTGCGGACAGTATTTGCCGAGGAGAAAAGGTCCGCCTGTGTCCGTCCCTCCTGTGACATGACGGAATCTGCCGAACGAAAACTTCTTCCAGGTGGTATTTACCCTGTCCGTTAGTCATCCCCCCCGAAACCCACGGAGGTTCACCTCGTCCTGTATTTTCGGAGCAGCATTGGATGCTCGTGTTTCATGTATGAGCACCCCCAGGAGCACCCACCCAAGCTGCAGCTGGCCTGGGTCAGAGATCTTGTGCGTGAAGCTTAGCTTCTATTCCAGGTGTATAGTTCATAGGTAGGCATAGATTTTCGGTACGAGAGTTAGCACCCCCAGGAGCACCCTAGCTGCATCTAGGGCAGGGATCTTGCAGATAAGCTTAGCTTCTTATTTAGGTGTAGCTTAAGGTTAGCAACGGCTTTTGCTTATAGAGAGGAGGAGATTATCGCCGTTTATTGCGTTGGAAATAGTGAAGTAGAGTCATCTTGCTTATCGCTCGCGCGGGTCGCGTGGGAAGCAACGATAGGACGCAGTAGTGATATTAACTTCCGTCGGATCCACCCACGGAGTTCCTACCCTCAATTCGCTCCAGAAGGGGAGGGGAAGCAAGCGGCGCGACGAGCGCGACGAGCCATGTCGTCCGGAGCCATCGCGACGGACGCATCGGCGAATGGCGCGGCGGCGTCGCCGCCGCCGCAGAGCAACGGCAACACGGCGATGACGTACGCGTCGGTGATCTCGCTGCACCAACTCAACATCGCCGTGATCGCCGTTCTCGTGCTGCTCGTGCTGCTCGTGCTCGTCCTCTCCATCGCCAAGGCGCGCTCCACGTGGCTCCACCGCCGCGCCGTATTGCGTCAGCAGGCGGAAAGCGCGCAGAACCTTCGGCCGGTCGGTCAGCGCGGTTTGCTGGTCGACGACCGGCCAGGGAACGGCATTCCCGAGGAGCTGATTAAGCTGTTAGGGCAGGTGGTGGCGTTCGAGGCGGCGAAGGTCGGCGGGGAGTGCGAGAGCGAGCGCGAGTGCATCGTGTGCCTGGGGGAGTATAACGAGGGCGACATGGTGCGCGTGCTCGACGCGTGCCACCACATGTTCCACCAGGTGAGATGCGCGTGTCGCCACACGTGTCATTTGGTGAGATGCGTGTGCCTGCAAGGACAAAGGCGTAGTGGGGGTCATGGATGAAGGCGTAGTAGGAGCATGGGCGAGGGCGTTTGACACCCGGAGGGTGTTTGACACCCGGAGGGTGTGGGCGGGCGATTTCGAGCGGCAACCTCGCGCGGACGGTGTGAGCGAGTGACGGAGCTACTGCAGTAAGGGGCTGTAGGGCGCAGCCGTAAGGGGCTGTAGGGCGCAGCCGTAAGGGGCTGTAGGGCGCAGCCGTAAGGGGCTGTAGGGCGCAGGGTGTGAGTCGTAAGGGGGTGTAGGGTGCACGGGGCGTCGATACGGCCTGGCGTGTGGCCATCGCGTTCCCGCGTGTTGGACGCCGCTTACGCGCCAGTTCTGCTGCTACTTCGCATGCCACTCCCTCCGAGCTGCCCATCGTCTTCTAGGTCGCCGCTTCATTCCCCCTTTTCCCGTCCTTTCCTCCTCCTTCCCCCCCGTCCCCCCCTTCCCTTGTGCCCCGTGTCCGCCATGCTCCCCACCACCTCACCGCCCGCGTCCGCTGGTGTGTGCAGGACTGCATAGACGCGTGGCTCAAGGCCCACAACTCGTGCCCCATCTGCCGCACCGTGCTGCTCCCCGCGCGCCCCTCTCACACTGCTGCCGGGGCGGACGCCGGGCAGCACTTGCACGGCCACCACCACCACAGCCACCACCACCACATGCACCACCACCACCCCCACCACCCCCACCACCACCACCACCACGACCCCGAAGCTGCTCTTGGTCAGGCACACCCATCCCCGGACCAATCACACCCATCTACAGACCAATCGCGTCTATCTTCGGACCAGTTAGGTCCATTTCAAGACGAATCAGGTCCATCCCTGGGCGAATCGGGACTACCTTTGGACCATGTGCATGTGCATGTGCACACGGACCAATCACGCGCCGCTCACGGCCAGCTGCATGAGGTGCAGGAGCAGAGCGGTTACCGTAACAGCATCACTGCTGCGTCCCCTGCAAGTGCAGGCACAGGAAATGCTGTTCTCTCCCTTGCAGAGGTTGAGGGACGAGAGGGTCTTGGAGGTGGCGATAGGGATTCTTCTGTGGCTGAACCCATTTTAGAAGCAGTGGTCGGGGCCAAGGTTGCTGCTGCGTCAAAAGACTTACTGGTAAAAGAGGGGGCGGAGTGCAGAGAAAGCGGGCATGTGGGTGTGGAGATAGCTGAGGCAACACAAGGCAGCTGTTGTGCTGCTGAAGGAAATGGGAGCACACGTCATGAAGATGTGGGAGGTCGCGGAGGGAGCGGTGTAGAACCCATGCATTTCCATGTATCAATGCAAATTTGAAGGGCGGTGTGCCCTTCTAGCCAATTTGTAGGCATGCTGCTAGCAATCAATGCTGGCACATTAAGAGCATTAGTGTGTACAGTTTTGTTTATATCCCGAATATGTATCTCACACTATGAGCCATTTTTTCATTGCTCTATCCAGGGCGTCAGAAGTCAGCGAAAAGGGGCAAATTTATGTAAAAACGGCCGAGGTCTTTTTTAAGAACCAGGAAAAAAATATTAAATCTGTAGTGTAATTTTTCATAAAATGGCTGAATTGTCTGTTTTTTCTGCATAAAAGTTTGTACCAATCTGATTTTTCAGCCTGGCCCAAAACGAGTCTGAGGCCCTGGCTCCATCCATTCAGGGGGTGTTACATTGCGCGCTGGTCCATTTACAGGAAATGGACCAGCTTAGACAAGGGAGCACCAGTTTACAGGGATCACTTGCGAAAGTGGTCCCTGCCTGGTACCCGCGTGGTCCCGGGCACCATTTGCAGCCGACCCCAACAGCACAGTGTTTTACAGTTTCGCAAAAGCAAGGTGGACGAAAACAAAGTCGCACCTAGTCACACGCGAACTACATTTCGCGACGGCCCGAATTGCGAAATTTTCAGCTTGTGCTAGCGAAAAGGGGCGACGTGGAGTTTTCGCGAGTGTCTGGGCCGCGAATTGGGGTCGACTGTTGGAAGTGGTCCCCCAAATCCTGCACGCGCACCGACCACTGTACATGCTGGTCCATGGGGGGAGCTACCTGGGTCACTACCTGGGCCGTTTGCTGGTCCAAACAGCTGGTCCACGCTGGTCCGCGCTGGTCCGCGCAAATTCCCTGGGCCGCAGCGGCCCAGCGCGGCCCAGAGTAGTTCTACCGCACATGTAACACCCCCTCAGACTCGCGAGCATAAAAGGAAGGAACCATTCAGGCTGTGTTTGTTTGCTGGCGGGGTGGAATTTCCCCCAAGCACTTTTGTTCTGTCCGCTCGAACGAACATGTCAGGATGTGTCAGCAACTAATCGCTGATTGGTTGGAGCTTGTTGCACATCGCCCCTGTCGGAGCTGATCTGCGGTCTGCTCGAGGCGCGAGCGTTGCGGGTATTCCAGCCGCGTGAACACATGCGACTGAAATTCATCAGAAATCCTCACCAGCTCCAGAATTCGCTGGTGCACCAGTCGACTTTCCCTTGATTTCATAAACAGCACTTGCACATTCCACCATACTGCTTCGAGCAGGTGAGTAGAGTCCAGGTCCCACTGCTCTTCCGCTTTCTGCTTCTGATCATACGAGCAACGCACAGTGACGTTAGAGAAGAGATCAGATGCTGGTATAGATCCCGATCACGATTCTCTCAAATCTAGTCCCTGGCTAAGGTTCCTCAAGAAGATGAGTCGCTCGTCCATCCCGAAACGAGCCTCTCGAGCCCTCCTAGTCGCGCTTCTCGTGTTCTGCCTCTCCCATGCGCCTCCCGCCTTCGCATCTCTGCCGGTCTCGGGATCTCTTTACTCTCCGAACTCACCATCCATACGCACCGATGACAAGAACCCATTCGCTGCGTTCCGGAACTTCTTCGAGGAGAAGACCAGATTATTTCAATCAAGAAACTCGCTTGGCCACCCGGAAGCGGTTATCGGACCTCCGATTAACGAGTCTGCTAGGCCGTTCGGTCGATTATTGCAGTCCTCCTCCTCCTCTCTCTCCGACTGCCCATTCACCACCACCAATCCCCTCCACACCTGCGCCGTCGGATACGCCGCATCTGCCGGCGTGACCGGCGGGTACGGGAAGCATGCCTACGTGGTGACCAACGCCGACGACTCACTCCCAGTCGGTACCAACGGCTCGCTGCGGTGGGGATTAACGCGCGCCTATGCCGCCGCGGGAACCAACGGCATCTACATCACTTTCGCGAAGAAAATTGACGTTTTGCTCATGGGGCCGCTAGCGGTGCCGTCGGGCACGACAATCGACGGGCGGGGAGTTGCCGTCCGGCTCTTCGGGTCGTCCGTCGTGGTTCGCAACGCCCGGAATGTGATTGTGCACAATATCGAAGGTACAACTCCAGGGACAATTTCCAGGTGCGATTCGGGTACCGAAACACACTCGGAATGTGTAATTTCCAACCTTTCCTTTTGAAGCTTCGCTCTTGGGGAACGTAAACAGCCTCGTCGGTCTCACCTAACCCATCTTTCTTCTACGCACCTTCCACTCCCAATCATGCGATTCCCCTCCATTTTACAGTGCAAAGCGTGAAGTTCCCCAACGTGAACAGCGGCGTGAGCATCATCGACAGCACGGTGGTGTGGCTGGATCACGTGCGAGTGCGCGACGCCGTACCGGGGGCAGTGGAGGTCGTTGGCAGCAGCGCGGGCAGCGCCGGCAGTGTGACAATATCGAGCTGCCACCTGAGGAACGTGTATCTGCCGGGTGTGATGATAAGGGGGCCGGGAGCGGGATCGTTAGGCAGTATCGTCAGCACCCGCAGCTCCAACAGCAGCGGCGGCAGCGGGGGAGGCGGAGGGAGCGGGGGAAGCGGCAGTGGAGGCGCAGGAAGCAGCAATAGCAGCAGTGGCAGCAGCGGTGGTAGCGGAAATGGCGGCGGCGGCGGAAGCAGCACGAGAAGGAAGACGCAGGTGACCAGCGGCAGCAGCAAGAGCAGCGGGAATGGCACCAAGACGACGAGCACCAACAGCAGCACCACCAGTTCGGGCGCGAAAGCTACGAGTCCCCCCAAAAGCCCCACCTCACCTCCTAAAAGCCCCAGCGCCCCGCCCAAAAGCCCAGACTCTTCGAAAGCGCCGAGCGCGCCGAAGGCTGCGAGCCCACCTGGCGGCGCGAGCAGCAGCACCAAGAGCGCCGGCGGCAGCGCCTCTCCTCCGCTGACCGTCACGCTCTTTCGAAATTGGTTTGACTCGAGTGACAACGCCAACCCCCAATGCGCTGCTGCCACGTGTCACCTCGCGAATAACCTGCTGTCGAATTGGCGAACGTGGTGCATTCAGGCGAAGCTCGCTGCAAACGTTCGGTCAGAAGGGAACATTTTTCTTGCCGCCGGGCAGAAAGACGCGGCGCGATCAGACGGCTCGTCGGTGGTTTCTCTAGGAGACCGGCTTGGGAACGGCGCGGTGTTTAATTCCCAAGGGACAGGCGTGGTATTCACTCCGCCATATTCGATGACGCTCGCGGCGCCAGACACGGCGCTAGAGAGCTTCATTCAGCAGTCCGCGGGCCCGAGCGTCATGGCGCGTCCGCTCATGCAGCCCCCCCCGCCGCCTGCTTCTCCGCCGCCTCTCCCCAAATCCCCACCTCCAGTGCAATCTCCGCCTCCCCCGCCGGCACCGCTCACTAATATCAACATGAATCCTCCTCGTTCTCCGCGCACCCCCCCTCGGTATCCCCCTGTTTCTTCTCCGCCACCACCGACGAACTCTCCCCCGGCGCCCCCCGCTCCCCCGTCCGCGGACCTCCCAGACGCGCAGTGCGCGTTTGATTCGGATTTGCCGCTGCACAATTGCTCTCTAGGGTTTGCGCGGGGTGTCCTAGGGGGATACGAGCGTAGCGAATATGTGGTTACCAACGCCAACGACAGCATCATCGCGCCTGTGGAGGGTTCGCTAAGATGGGGTTTGCAGCAGTACAGGGACGGAGTGTACATTCGGTTCGATTCGTCTATGACAATTAATCTCAAAGGAAGACTATTTATATCATCTTACACAACGATTGATGGGCGAGGAGGCCAGATTCGAATTATGGGAGACACGATCGTGGTGCAGTCTGCGCAGCATGTGATTATACACAATATTGAAGGTAAGAGCAGGGTGTAGTACTCACTTGTGTCACTTTCACAATCGCTCTTGGTCCTCGCCCTCGCACCCTCCTCATCCCCTCTCAGCCTCCCTGCCTCATTTTTCATTCCTTAAACATTCCCCCCCTTCTGCCAGCAGAACAGTGTGCGTGGACCACTTACATCCCTGCTTTCCCATTCCCCGACCCTTGCTGTCTTCCCCTCCCATCCCTCCCTGTGGGCGAGGTGGAAGAAGCCACCTATGGCAGGCAGGACGGCATGGCCATACGAGCCAGCAGCATGGTGTGGGTCGACCACTCACATCCTGCTCTTCCCCATATCTACACTCCCCCCCTCGTCCACTCTCTCATTCCAGTGGGCGAGGTAGACCAAGCCCCATTCGGCACGCAAGACGGCGTAGCCATCAGAGCGAGCAGCATGGTGTGGGTGGACCACTGCCTCGTGCACAACGCCCCTCATCCCCCCCTTTCTCCTCCCCACCTCTTCCTCTTCCCCTTCCAGTGGGCGAGGTCGACCCAGCCCCGTTTGGCACGCAAGACGGCATAGCCATCAGAGCCAGCAGCATGGTGTGGGTGGACCACTGTCTCGTGCACAACGCCCCTCTTGGAACCATCGACCTCCTCGCTTCCTCGGACACTGTAACTGTCTCATACTGCCACCTCTCCAACTACCTCCTCCCACTCGCCTCCGCCAACGCCACGTCAGCGCTGCAGACCGCCGACCGGACGAGCCCAGACGCGGGCACGGGCACAGATGGGGATGGGGGTGCAGGAGAGCCTGATGGTGCACGAGTTACCTACTTTGGGAATTTCTTTGAGGGGCCGTCAGCACCCATGCTCCACTGCCAGGCGTCGCTGTGCCACGTGGCAAACAATCTGTTTGCCAACTGGACCGACACGTGTATTGTCGCGCGCGGAGGCGCGTCTGTGAGATCACTCAATAACGTGTATGCCAGCACGGTTCCGGGTGCGGCAGGGATTGTAACGGCGAATGCGGACGGCGCGAGTTTCTTTGTAACGAGCGGGGATCTGCTGAGGAATGGAGTGCGGTTTGTGGTGAGTTTGCCGCCCGGAGTGAGTGGGAGTGCGGACATGCCGCCTCTGCCCTACTCCCTGCCGGTAGACAAAGCTGACTCAAGCCTTCCAGGCCCGATCAAGGGGAATTCGGGGCCTCAGTTCTGAAGTCAAACAAGTCAATGGAATCAACAAGCGGATGAAGTCGCAGGCTGTTTACCATCTAGCGTGCGTGCTTTTGTACAATAGGGAAGGTTATTGCTGTTAATCGGACAGAGCATGGTCGGTTCGTGTGATGTCTGTAAGCTAATTAAACCCAGGGACTTCCAAAGCAGCTTTTGTGCACTGATATTTTTACGAAAGCAAAGGAACATTCTAGGGCGTCAGGTGCTGCAGGGAAGCATGAAAACGACCCCCGCTGCAGTGCTGCCAGTGCCTGCACTGGCTGGGCCTTTCCACTGACTGTTGACTGAGTCACGTGCGCGCAGTCAAGCGGGGCCCACGAGTCGGCGCGGGCCAAGGTCCTGACGAGGGCGCTGGGGACACACATGGACATCGGAGGGAGCAGGGGGGCGGGGGAAGGTGGTGAGGTGTGCGGTGTTGAAAGTTGGGGGAGAGGGAGATGGGCCTGGGGGTGTGGAAAAGTGAGGATAGGCAGCAGGTGCATGTGGTGTGGTGTAAGTCTTTGCTCTAAGTCACCATCCCATCAATGGCTGCATGGGTGCATGGGTGCATGGGTGCATGGGTGCATGGGTGCACGGGTGCACGGCAGCATGACAGCATGTATAGAGCGTCTATGTGTCAGCAGAGCAGGACTAGGGGCAGCAGGCCATGACTCACAGAGTTGAAGGCGAGGGTGCGGCGGTCGCCCACGTAGCTCAGGAACTCCAACACCTGGCTGTCCGGTACCTTGAGCGGGGCCGCTGTGAGGGGGGAGGAGGCGAAGAGGAAGGGAAAAGAAGAGGGGATTGAGTTAGAGGGTGCAGTGCAAGCAGCACGGTCCCCCACGAAGCTCAGGAACTCCAACACTTGGCTGTCCGGTACCTTGAGCGGGGCGGCTGTGAAAAGGGTGAGAGAGGAGAGTAGAGGAGGGGAGAGGAGGTTGAGGTAAGAGGGTGCCTCAACGGTCGCCCACATAGCGCAGGAACTCCAACACCTGGCTGTCCGGTACCTTGAGGGGCGCGGCTGGGAGGGGCAGGGAGAGGGGATAAGAGGCGGGAGAGGAGGGATTGCGTTAGAGGGTGCAGTGAAAGCAGCACAATAGCCCACAAAGGTCAGGAACTCCAACACCTGACTGTCTGGCACCTTGAGGGGGGCGGCTGGGAGTGGGGGAGAGAGAGGCGGGAGGAGAGGAAACGAGGGGGAGAGAAGAGGGGATACGGTTTGAGTAGGCGGTGCAAGCAGCACAGCCCTCCGCTCAGGCTGACCTGCGCTCACCCCCCTTTCTGCCACTCACCGAGCACAAACCAGTCGACCATGTCAGAGCAGGCAGGATCGGCCAGGAATCAAATCCACCCTCTATCCGCCACTCACTTACCCTTCTCTGCCACTCACCAAGCACGAACCAATCGACCACATCAGAGCAGGCAGGGTCGGCCAGGGAGCCCTGGTAGTGAATGTACGCGTGAGAGGCGTCCTGAAGAGGGGGTGAGGGAGATGCAGAGACGCAGAGACGCAAAGAGGCAGAGGGGCAGAGGTGAGGGTCCTTTTGAGGCGTCTCAAAACACATCAGAGCAGGCAGGGTCAGCCAGGGAGCCCTGGTAGTGGATGTAGGCATGTGAGGCATACTGGGGGGAGAGAACAGAGGAGTAGAGGGGCAGCGGAGAGTGGTATAGACAGGCCACATGTTTACATGTGTGTATGTGCATATATAGACATATGCAGCAATGCATAAAGAGAGGGGACAGGAAGAGGTGGTGGTGGTACTCACAGATCTCTCAGCAGGCGGCAGCAGCGGCTGCGGGCTGGTCTGCACGCGCAGGCACTGCTGCAGGGCGGAGCGAGCGCCCCCCCTGCCCACCACCGCCACCTCTAAACACTCCTGGGGGGAGGCGCTGGAGGGGGCAAGAGCAGGGGGGATGGGGGGGAAGAGGAGGGGGGGTGGGAGGAGGGAATGAGGAGAATGTGGGGAAGATAGGGGAGAGGGAGCAGTTTGCCCCTTTTGCTCTCAATCTCCCTGTCGCCCTCCCCACGCCCCCCTGCCTACTCCTCATCCCCCATCCCCCCACTGTACCCAAAGTCCTCAGCACCACAACACAACAGTACTCTCATCCTGCGTGCCACTCACATCTGCTTGTTCTTCTCGCCCGGGGCGAACGCCAGAGCCGCCTCCAGGCCCAGGTTGCGCTGGGCCCGCGGGTCCGCCTCTATCATCACTCTGGAAGAGGGGGGGGAGGGGAGGGGGATGAAGGGGAAGGGAGGCAGGGCGTAGGGGGGGCGTTAGGGGGGCATTGGGGGAACGCCAGAGCCGCCTCCAGGCACAGGTTGCGCGGAGCTCGTGGGTCCGCCTCTATCATCACTCTGAGGTGCGGGCGGTGGGGGCGGGGGAAGGGGGTGGCGAGGGGAGCGGGGAGTTGAGTGGCGTTTGGGGAGGCATTGGGGAGGCATTGGGGAGGCATTGGGGAGGCATTGGGGAGGCATTGGGGAGGAATTTGGGGAGGAATTTGGGGAGGCATTGGGGAGGAATTTGGGGAGGCATTGGGGAGGAATTTGGGGAGGCATTGGGGAGGAATTTGGGGAGGAATTTGGGGAGGCATTGGGGAGGAATTTGGGGAGGCATTGGGGAGGATTTTGGGGAGGCATTGGGGATCCTGAACTGGGGGGACATGGGAGGAGGATAAGAGAGGGGAGTGGAGAGGCGAGCAGCAATGGTAGAGGTTGAGCCGTGTGACTGGTGCAACATCACCAGCCAGTTTTGACGAGCCATGTGACTAATACGGGCGTGCAACATTACCAGCACGAGATGCCGACTCACCCAATCACTGCCAGCTTGCCGTCAGCATCGCCTGCACAGGAACAAGGTGGGAGGGGAGGCGGGATGGAGCACATGCGGGGGATGAGGCTGTGGTATGAAGAAATAAGGGATGGGGTTCAATGATGAGGCTTACAAGTCTTGAGAAGGGAGGGGAAAGGAGAGGGTCATAGTGGACGAGTGTTGGCTCGGATCAGCAATGGTCACAATGGACGGGACTTGCCATGGTACTCAAACGACGGGCGCCTTCCTCCCAATCACCCAAGTTTCCTCATGGCCTTCGGAACGCGTTCACTGCCTATGCTCACATCCTCGCTACAGTCAGCTCGTTACATCCCCCTCGCTACAGTCCCCTCTTTACAGCGACGCACGGTGCACGAGATGCGCCTCCATGGGGCAGCGCACGCCGTTGAAGGAGTGCTCGCCATCACCTCGTTACAGTCACTTGCTACACGTACGGTGCACGAGATGCGCCTCGCTACAGTCACCCTGCTACAGTCCCCTCGTTTCGTTAGACGTACGGTGCACGAGGTGGGCCTCCATGGGGCAGCGCACGCCGTTGAACGAGTGCTCGCTGGGCGCGTGGAAGTGGTACTGTAGCAGCTGCAGCTGCCGCCCGCCCACCGCGCACGTGTTGCTGCCGCCCGGGAAGTTCACCTGCGAACGGCAGAAGCGGACATGAGGGGGGGGGGACGAGGAAAAAGGGAGTGAAAATGGGAGATGGCGGGGGAGAGAGAGGGGGTGAGGGGAGAGTGAGGGGTTGAGAGGAGGAGATAAGCCAGGGGTAAGAGGAATTAAGAGCAGCGAGGAGAATAGAGCGCATTGAACGACTCGCCTGCATCGTGCCGTGCCCCGTGTTGAGGAACGACGCATCGGCGTTCTTATACGCGAATGTGATGTTACCGAGGCTGTTGTCTCTCGTCAGCTTCGACACCGCGTTCAGCGGACCGGCGGTTGCGGACTGCGCCGCGTCGCCCGCCGAGCACAGCTCGCCCCACTCCATCGGCCCGGAAACGTCGTCCTTGATTGAATCGGCGGCCAATGCGGCCCCGATAGAGGATAATCCCCCGTTAGAGTCACAAATGGGGCAGCCCACGACCGCCGCCATGCCCGCCGCCAGTCCGCCGAGGATCAGCCGCCGGTTGACGACGCGCGGCCCGGTGTGACCGTGGGAGGCACTTTCGGGCTCTGCGGCCGCCTTTCCGTCCTTAGCGGCGCAGCGGACGGCAATGGCGGAGCCGTTATTGGCGGATGTGAGGGGAGCTGCGCAGGCGGCGAGACTGACGGGCCGGCCGAGCATCTCGCATTTCTCCAGCGATGATTGGACGCAAGCGGCCAGCGGCGCGCGAAGCGAAGAGGAGGTGGCAAGAGCAGCCATTGATGCAAGGAGATCCGTACCTCAAGGAGAAGAGCTCTAAATCTTAGCTGTCCTTTTTTATTTGCCTTCTCTCCTGAGTGCTTTATTACTGGAGAGGCTGGAAGTCGTGGTTGGAGAGAGTTTCTCGGAGTGGCTTTAGCTGATGCACGAAAGGTTGGAGCTTGAAGGGCAGTGTACACTTCCAAAAGCACCCACCGTGACTGGTTCTTAGAACCACGTTTACGAGGTGGAAATGAGAGGGGAGTTGACAAAAGAAAAATAATTACAGTGCCCGCCATCTCAAGGATGTGAGCTTCGCGAGATCTACGGTTCTCAGTTTGCTTCCAGCCAGTCGATCAATATCCGACATCCATTCCCGAGTCGCGCATTCGATGTGTAAGCCATGTCATCAGAAACACGATGTTGATCTCCACGTGGTATATCCGGCTTACTGCAAGGCTTCGGTACTGTACTACTGTTAGATTCACGTGGAAAAGGATTTGCTCATGTGTTAAAGTTCCATCGGAATACCATTCATGCAAGCATGCAGACTTCGACCAGCATAAACTTGTTTTTTTCTCTCCCACATCCTGTTATTGACCAGTCTGTGCTGTCAACACCTCGCTTGGATCACCACAACCTCCTCCACGCAGTGGTTGAGAATCCGCGACACGCGGGACTGGGGGAACGTTCGCCAGCCATTTCGTGTGTCGAATGAAGGTGTTCCACGTGTTCAGTCTTGAGCTGTGCAAAGTCGCGCCAAAGCAGATTCAACCAGACCCCTTGGAGTTGATGTCGCTCGTGTAACCTGGGGTGTGGTGGCTCTTATTCAGGCAGTGGTCCAACCAAACAAAATGGGGGGAAAGAAGCACAACTCGCTCAAGTGAGAGTAGGAGACTAGCTCCAGCTGCAGCGAAGGCATGGTCGGGTTGATCTGATAGGACAAGTCAATCCCTTTGGATCTGCCACGCCTAGTGGTGAACTGTCGGCTCAGCCATGGCGTCTAGCGCCTTCGAAACGTACTGGAAGGTAGGATCGAGTTAACCTGAAGAGCAGAAGCGTTTCTTTCGGCTTGGTATCTGACGTGAACGGAATTCTCTGCAGGTTCTGACCGACAACTTCACAGACTTCCAGCTCGCGACCATCGGAAGCTTCCTGATTCATGAGTGCGTCTTTTTCATGTCCGGACTGCCTTATCTGATCCTCGAGAATCTAAATGTTCGGAAATACAAACTCCAGGTGCGTCGGCATTTCGTTGGCTTCGTGGTATGGCTCCATTAGCAACTTAGGTTGGGATCTGAGCGTGGTTCGTGTCATTGCAGAAAAAGTCAAACCCGGCATCATCACAGATCAAATGCGTATTGAAGCTGCTGATGTACCACTGCCTCGTCAACCTACCTCTGATCATGGCGTCCTACCCGGTTTTCAAGTACATGGGCTTCAGAAGCACGCTTCCCCTTCCGCACTGGTACTGCTTCCGCTCGTTTTTAACTTTGCATGGAAAGATCGCCTCGTCTAGTGTTGCAAGCTTCTCACCTTTCGCGACGACGCTTGCAGGAGTACCATCGTTACCCAGCTCGTGAGCTACTTCTTTATCGAGGATTTTGTGTTTTACTGGGGTCACCGTGCGCTACACTCGAAATGGCTGTACCAGAACGTCCATTGCGTCCACCATGAGTGAGTGCCGCTGTCAGACGCTCCGCTTTACTCTCCCTCCCACCTCCCGCGTACTTAATCTCCCCTTCCTCTCTCTTTTTGAGCCCCTAGATATGCGACTCCTTTCGGGTTGACATCGGAGTACGCGCATCCCGCGGAAATCCTCTTCCTAGGGTTCGCCACCATTCTCGGCCCCGCCCTCACGGGACCGCATCTGCTCACCCTCTGGCTCTGGATGAGCCTTCGAGTCCTCGAAACCGTTGAAGCACACAGCGGATTCGAATTCCCCTGGAGTCCGTCCCGCTTCATTCCGCTCTACGGCGGGTAAGTTCATTTCACACCAGATCGTGCAATTATACCTACGCTCTACAATGTCCTCTCAGCGTGAGATGCAACTTGTGATGGCTGCAGGGCGGAGTACCACGACTATCATCACCGCTGCGTGTACACGGACTCAGGCAACTACTCGTCCACGTTCATCTACATGGACTGGTATGTGGGCTTGGATTGCTCGCACATACGGTTCATGTCCTATGATGCCCGCTGAATGTGAGCTATGTGTTGTGCAGGATTTTTGGAACTGACAGGAACTACAGGAGAATGAAGGCTCTGAAAGCAGGCAGTGCCAAGGACGAGGCTCCTACTACCAATGGTACGAAGAAGGACTCTTAGGCTAGAAAAGGTTGCACTTTGAACTGCAACTTTGTGTTGCAAGCTCTGCAAGGTAGTAATATTCATGCCCTCGCTGAGGGCGTGATAGTTGGGTTGTTCATGCATTTCCAGATGTCAATAATGTCACATCTATTTTCTCATGCATACCAGTCAAAGCACAATGGTGGGGCGATTAGTCCCTAGATCCGGCCCAGTCTGGCGCTCTCCTTATTCCCGCTCTTTGTTCATGCAATCCCTATGTCTGTAAGAATGGGAGCTGGGTGATGGAATGGTATGTCAGCCCATGAGGGGGGAGATGAGCACGGCGTGGGAAGAGTTGTACTAACAGTTATGGTGTTGTGTGTCTGGTATGCCATGCTGCGGGAAAGGAAAGGAATGGAGCTTTGACAAATAGCGGCTGAGATGGCTAGAGGGTTTTGGATGGTGGAGGTCAGGGTTAGCCGAGGGGTGAAGAGCGCCTGGGTTGGAAATTGTTAACAAGATAAGGTTTGATGAAGCCACAACCCAAAGTGGACAAAAGTAATTCTTCCTGAAGATAAATGACGCTTGAAGGCATGAGTAGGGGCAATTTCTCAACCATTAGCGAGGCACAATTTTGAAACATCTTCATTTGTTAGTAATACTGTAGGCATTTGGTGGAGTAGTGTAACATAACAACTGACCTAAATGCTATATTATATGCGGTAAATATGTTCAGTGTATTACCGTACCTCTCCTACTATTAGGGAAATACTCCATGGTGCCAGTTCCTCCTGCCCATCCTACAGCAGAGCTCGCGCTTCAGCAGATCCCACCACATCCACCTCATCACTTCCGTCATTCTGATTCCTTGCATCCTGCGAGCATTCTCACTTCACCTTTTTCACTGATCCTGATTTACCTCTACCACCATTATCCGAGGAGTTTCTGATCAGGTCGTCGTAGCATTTTTGCATCGTCTGGCGTTTGTTTCCGCGCTCATTGCCTTGTTGCCGCGCAGCATCAACTCTATTGATTCAGCACCAACGGCTCTCCGCACAGAAAAGAAAGTATTGAAAGCGAAACGGGTTCTGAGACGGTGAAGATTAGGGTTACTGACGACTCGATGTCAGGAAGGGATTTGATACTTGTCAAATAGGCGAGCTGGCAAATCTTAGGTAAAGGGCCGTCTCTCGTCAGGCCAGCTGGCGGCTCGCCGGCTGATGCGGCGATGACTGGGCCGCTGCCGTCGCCAGCCAATCGCACGCGCTTCAAGACGCCGGAAGGGCGATACCTGCTGTCGCACGAGAAGGTTCACCCGGCCGGCCTTATCCAGTACACCCATCAGCGCAATCCCACCAAGGTATTACGCGCTCGCCACGTGTCACTTCCAGATCCCTCCATTTCAACGGCCAGGGATCACAATAATCTCTCACGTTCCGCGATTATAGAAGACAATGTCATTCCGCTCCCTCCCCCGTTACAGTCACGTAGCTGCATCGGCCGTGTCTCACTCACGCGGCTGTCGAGGCGATTCCTCGGAATCTGGTTCCACGATCTGCATCAAGCATTCCGTGCTGCCTCTCGCATTTCCTCGCCCTTTTCCCATACCCCTTTCAACCGCGCCCTTTCCCTCCTCCTTCCCCATCCTTCCCCTCCCCCTCCTCCACCCCCCGCCCCTCTCCTGCGCACCTCCCCCGCGCAGATCACATTAGCGCATCTCGAGGACCGGCCTCCGCCCCTCCCCCCTCCGTCGCCGTCACCCGTTGCCACGTCAGCAGGTTCCAGATTCGCCAAAAACTTCTTAGGAGCAGGAAGCGGCACGCGTGGACTGCCCTTCGGCGGCGGAAATGGCCGTCAATCAGGTTCGAGTGGCCGTCAATAATTCGAATGTAGCCGTCAGGAGGGAATAGCCGTCGGGTAGGTGGGAGTTTTAGTAATTTAATTAGGCCACTTGCTCACCTCACCCCCTTGGCAGGCCCCCTCGTGCACCATCTCCTGTTCCTCCTTCTCCTCCTTCCCTTCCATCCTCTCACTCCCCTGCCTCCTCGCCTCTTGCATCCCCCTCCTTTCCCCCTTCCACCTTCCCCCCCGACCCCCATCCCCCGCCTCACACTTTCCCCCTTCCACCTTCCCCCCCGACCCCCATCCCCCGCCTCACACTTTCCCCCTTCCACCATCCCCCCCCCCCCTCCCCCCCCCCCCCCCCCACGCCCGCAGCAGCGGTGCCAGCAGCCACTGGCGCATCCGCAGGCGCGGGGACCGCAGGGGGGAGCAATGGGGCGGTGGGGGGAGCAGGCGGAGGGGGAGGGGCGGGGGAGAAGGAGAAGGCGGGGGGCGAGGGCGAGGGGTCGTACGTGATCTTCAACGTTGGCGAATCACTCTTTGTGGCGGACGCCAACAGTACGGACAAGGTGGGGAGGGGATGGGGAATGGGGAAGGGTGCGAGGCGCAAGGTGGGGCTGGGGGGCGCAAGGTGGGGGTTGGGGGGCGCAAGGTGGGGGCTGGGGGGGCTCAAGGTGGGGGCTGGGGGGGCGCAAGGTGGGGGCTGGGGGGCGCAAGGTGGGGGCTGGGAGGGCGCAAGGGAAAGCAACGTTGGTGTGGCATGGCATGTGCGGGGCAGGGGTTGATGGAGTTGAGTTGAGAGTGAACGATGGATTATTTTTCCATCCCTGTCGTCCATCTCACTCCCCCCTCTATTCCCCTTACCCTCTCTTATCTTCCCATCTCCCCCCCTCTTTTTCTCCGTCCGTTCCTTCTCCCCCCTCCCACACCCTCGCATGGCCCCCCTCCCCCCCTCCCCTGCCAGGAGCCACTGAAGGCGCTGCAGTTCATGGGGGCGAGCGGGCTGTGCCACGCAAGTGGCACTTGTTTGAGACGCCCTCTCGCTCTTCACCCCCCCTCCCCCCATCCCCCACGTTTCCAGGAGCCACTGAAGGCGCTGCAGTTCATGGGGGCGAGCGGGCTGTGCCACGCGTTTGATGGAGCAGTGGTGGGCCGGGAGGCACAGGGCACAGCAGGCAGGGACGCACACGACCTGCTCATCGCCACCACCGCGGGCGACAGTGAGTGCCGCCCCCTGCTCCCACTCTCCTTGAGACGTCTCAAAAGAAGTAGCACAGGGCACGGGAGCAGGCAGGGACGCGCATGACCTGCTCATTTGCTACCACCACTGGCGACAGTGACTGCAAACTTCTCCTCCCACCACGCTCTCACCCCAGCACAGCACCAACCGTGTGCTCCCACGCCCCAGCTGCTTACCCCATACCTGCCTGTTCCTGTCTCCCCTTGCTCTTTGCCTCCCGTTGCTTCCCGGTCCCCTCCTGCCCCAGTCTACACAGCATCACTGAGGGCACATCTAGCAGACGGCAGCAAGAAGCTGGTGGGGGCAGCACACTACAGCCCGCGGGACGGCACTGCCAGCAGCAGTGGCAGCGGGGGTAGCAGCAGCGGGGGGAGCAAGGAGGGCAGCAGCGGCAGCAGCAGTCGATGCACGGCGGTGGCATGGGTGCCGGGCGGGGATGGGCTGTTTGTGACCGCGCATGCGGATGGCAACGTGTATGTCTTTGACAAGGTGGGACGCGCCTCCCCTCTGTCTCTGTGTAGTGAGCCATGGCATGGCATGGCATGGCGTGCCAAGCCCATGCCATGATGCATTGCGTTGCGTTGCACTGTTGAGGCAAGGAATGAGTCATACAGAGACAGGTCCATAGTTGACTTGTGAGTCGACTCAAAGGTCACCAGGTCCATAGTTGACTTTTGAGTCGACTCAAAGGTCACCAGGTCCATAGTTGACTTTTGAGTCGACTCAAAGGTCACCAGGTCCATAGTTGACTTTTGAGTCAACTCAAAGGTCACCAGGTCCATAGTTGCAGTATAATGCTAAACGCTGACTTGCCATGGGCCCGCCCAACAACCTTGTCACCCTCAAGTCCATTCGTTGCTCCCCCTCCCAACAACCTCCCGCCCTCGTTCCCAACACCCTGAACCCCCAACCGCACACCACCCCTTCCTGCCCCGCAGCACCGGGACGGCACCACGGAGCCGGGCTTCCCGCCCATCAAGGACGCCCATACCTTCTCCACCGCACATGCGCGCTCCAACAAGGTGCGTGTCCCTGTGGTGTGGATCCATGCCTTTTTGCGGTTGTGAGTCGACTTGAATGCCTCTGTGCCTGCATGCATGCCCCCTTGTGCCATCACCATCGCACTGAGAGCAATCACTTGCCACGTGCCCATAACCGAGCTTGCTGCTTTCTATCCGTTTCTCAGTTTGAGAGCAGCAGCAACCCAAGTGCCCCATGCCACATCTCCCCACAGCTGCATTCCCCCGTGCACCATCGATATCACCCATGAGCACCATCATCACTGCCCATGCTCTCCGCCCCCTCCCTTGCCGCAATGGCCATGACTGACAGAGCAACCCGTTGGCGCGGTGGCACATCTCGCCATCATCAATCAACGCCCTCGCCTTCTCCCCCTCGGGCTCACACGTGGCCACCGTCTCCCGCGATGGTCAGTGCTGGGGGAGCGTGGGTGGGAGAGGGGAGTGGCGCGCATGGCCAGGCTATCAGTTCTGTTGCATGCCGCTCGCTGCTCACTGTGTGCTGCCGGCTATCTGTATGCGGTTGACCCAGAGTGAGTTCTTACGACGCCCCAAAGCTTTCTCTGCTTCATGTGTGCTGCATGCTGCTTCCATATCCATTCAACGCCCCTCCGTGCAGGCTACCTACGAGTGTATGACTGGGAGCGAGAGGCCCTGGAGGGCGGGTGCAAGAGCTACTACGGGGCGTTCCTGTGCTGCGCCTTCAGCAGCGATGGGCGGCTGGTGGCGGCAGGCGGGGAGGACGACCTGGTGGCCGTGTGGGACCGCCACTCGCATGCTGTGCTTGCCTGGTGCGAGGGCCACTGCTCCTGGGTGAGTTGGTCTTGGTTTTGTTTGGTCCCTTAACTTCCTGGTAATGCTGTGCAAGCTGGCACATGAAGAGCGAATGGCTGGTGGCGGCAGGCGGGGAGGATGATTTGGTGGCCGTGTGGGACCGCCACTCCCACTCCGTGCTGGCGTGGTGCGAGGGGCACTGCTCCTGGGTGAGTGGGTCTTGCTGTTTAGGCCGCCTCAGCAAGCTGGTTTGGTGATGCTCTGCAGTGTGGCCCTAACCCCGCCATTGCCCGGTTCTATCCATCTGGGAGCATCTCTCTGCCCTCCAATCTTGCTCCTCTCTCCCTGTCCCCGTTCCCCTCCCTCTCTTTCTCTTCGCAGGTCACAGCAGTGGCGTTCGACCCCTTCCTCCCCGCCAATCCCCCGCCCTCCTCCATCGCCTCCCCTCCCTCCACCACCGCCGCCGCCATTGCCACCCCACCCTCCTCCGCCTCCCCCATCCCCACCAGCAGCGCCAGCACCGGCAGTGGTGCGGGTGTGGGGGCAGCAGTTGCGCCGGGTGGTGCAGAGGGGAGCTACAGACTGGGGTCCGTGGGACAGGTGAGAGGCGATGGAGGGGTGAGCGGAGTGAGAGGAGGAGGGGAAGTTGGAGGAATGAGGGGGTGAAGAGAGTGTTAGCAGCAGCGTTGGCTGCTGTGCTGTTACGCACCAAGCTACCCCGCATCGCGCGCACAGCGCGCATAGCGGCACGGCAGGGTGCAGAGCGGCATGTGATGGCTGAGTTGCTTATCTAGTCATGGTGTAGCCATGTTTGCTGTGAGGGGATTGGGGACGGTGTACCTTTGCTCTGCACTCGCTCGACCATCACTCTTGCACTCACTCATTCCCCTCTCCTGCACTCACTCGCCCACTCCTCTCGGACCTCTCTCCTCCCTGCCCCCCAAGCAACCCTATCAGGACACGTCCGATGCGGCTGCTTGGGACGTGGTGCTAGGCGACTCAGTGCTCCGTGTGTCGCCTGTCGCTCTGCCACTGTGATGACTGCCGTCGCACTCCCATTCCCCTCCTCCTGCTCTCACTCACCCATTTCTATCTCCTCCCTGTCCCTCAACCAACCCTATCAGGACACGGAGCTGCTGTGGGACGTGGCTTTAGACGACGCAGTGCTCCTTTTGCGTCTGTTGCTCTGCCACTGCGACTACTGGCCTCACTCTCCCTCACCCCTCCTCCTGCACTCACTCACCCACCCCCCACTCCCCTCCCCGCCCGTTTACCCACCCTACCAGGATACGCAGCTGCTGCTGTGGGACATAGCTCTAGACGATGTGGTGCTCCCCTTGCGCCTCCATGCATCTCATCCGCACCACCAGTCAGCAGCTGCCACGTCAGCATCCCACCCTCATGACGTGGCATCGACCAGCACCCCCCCGCCCGCCCACCCGCACTCCCGCTCGCACTTCTCCCACTTCCATTCTCACGCACCCGGCCACGCCTCTCCAAACCGAACACATGGCGCCACGTCAGCGTCACCATCCACGTCAGCAGCAGGAACTGCCACGTCAGCGTCATCATTAGGTCTGGGCAGATCCAGCGGTGCACGGAGCTCCAGTGGGGCGGGGAGTGGTGCCGGTGGGGGCAGCAGCAGCAGCAATGCAGGCGGGGGTGGCAGCAGCGGCGGGGCTTTAAGAGACGCATCGGGATCGAATGCATCTCATGGAGCAGCAGCAGCAGTGCTGGTGCCTCCTCCTTCCCGCAAAGACGTGCCGAGAATATCCCCAGTGATGGCACACAAGGTATGCACTCTGCCAGTGATGGCACACAAGGTATGCACTCTGCCAGTGATGCTGTTACCTCCTCGTTGAGCTCTTCTCAACTCCCATCCCCACCAGCAGGCATGCACATGAGCAGGCATGCACATCAGCAGGCATGCACATCAGCAGGCATGCGTTGCAATACAACCATCATCCGTCCCATCCCCGCATCTATCCGTGTGCCGCTTCTGTGGCATGCTTGGATGGTGTTGGTGTGTGCGCATGCACCCCTTCACACATCCATGTTGGTGTGTGCGCATGCACCCCTTCACACATCCATGTTGGTGTGTGCGCATGCACCCCTTCACACATCCATCCCTCCTCGCATCCCACCCATCATCCTTGCCCCCCCCACCCCTATTTCCCACCAGGTGCACGTGGAGCCGCTATCAGCGCTCGCCTTCTCACAGCAAGCAGTGCTCACCGCGTGCCACGAGGGCTGTGTCAAGCTCTGGCTGCGACCGGGTGCCACCCCCCCTCCCGGCAGCATTGCCGCCACCTCCTCCCTTGCCCCTTCTGCTGCTGCTGCGCCTGTTCCTGCTCCTGGTGGTGCTGCTGCTGCCACTGTAGCCGTGCCTGCAGCGTCCGCCTCGCCTCTCCGAGGAGACCCCCAGTCAGCCTCTCCCGCCCTCGCCCTGTCTGACCGAGGGCTTGCCAGCAACCGCACGGGCACACCAGAAGCTGCTGCTGGTGCGGGTGCTGGTGCGAGTGGTGCGGGCAGCATGAGTGCCGCTGCTGCGTCGGCTGCAGCGACAGCGGTAGCAGCGGGGGCGGGTGCAAGAAGTGCTGTTTCCGGGCAACGAGGATTCAGATGAGCGCGCAAAAGGGATGTTCTGAGGGGAAGCGCCTCATGGTGCACACAAGGGCATGCCTTCAGGCGTCAACTGGCGTACCGTACGCAAGAGAGCATGGTTCAAGGCGCCTGGAGGGAAAGGATGTGCAAGGGCATGGATATGGCGCACAGCTACCGGTACTACTCACCTGAGTGGTGGTGCATGGAAATAGTTTCATTACCGTAAGAGCACAAGCGGCTGTTTCTGTGGCCTTATGTTGATGTCTGATGTGGTCATACAGTGTTGTATGCAACTGTTGCCATACTCTCACTGGTGGCAATGGCATGGGATGATGTTGATTAATGATATTCACACGCGCACACAGGAATGTGATGTGGGTTCTGGGTGGTGTTGGCGAGATGGGATGCGAAGAAGATGCAACGCAAGCATGTGTGCACGGGGGAGCAGCAGGTGACTCGGAGAAATTTGTTTTACCACATGCATGCATGCACCCATGCACCGCACCGCACCGCAATGCAATCTGTGTCTGGTGGCAGGTGGTGGCACTGCATTTGCGCGTGGCCCACAGCCCATGCATGATGCATGGCGTGCCATAGTGTCATGCGGCCAGCGTGCATGCCATGGTGCCCGATCAGCCGTGCAGCAGCACAGCAGCAGCGGCGGCTGAGGCATGCATGGGAGTGTGGTGCCGCTGGTGCTGCAATCCTGGCAGTGGGTAGGTGTGGGCGTGCTTCAAAAATTTTGAAGCTGAACTATCCCCAAGTGGAATATTTGTTGCACGGGAGGCGGTGGGTGTGCATGGCACCATGACATTAGTCATCAGTTACACAGTGAACGACAGTGAAAGGTGGCGACAAGCATGGAAGAGGGAAGACCTGTGAGCTGTCCCACTAGAAGGGCACAGGGCATACCGTATTATTAACCAAAGGGCAGACCTTGGCAACTTAACCTTGCTGCCGTACGTACCGTATCAGCAATGGCACACCCACTGTTAAGCGGGGTTCCTACCTACCTAGCACCTATGATATGACCTAACACCTAGCACCTAGCACGTATCATGTAGGGAGCACCTGGAGACAGGGCATGCATGCTCCTATCTGGTCACCTGCACGCTGCCTGCTAGCTGCAGGCACACGCTTTCCCATGCTGCCTGCCCGCAGACCCAACGCTGCCAGCTGGCTCATTTGGATTGGATCGTGCCAGCTGGCTCTCTTGGACTCAACACTGCCAGCTGGCTCACCCTGACCTGCACCCAGCCAGCTCCTAACCAAGCGCACTGCTGCTGCTGCTGCTGCTGCGAGCCTATTGTTGCACCACCACAGCTGAGCCTGAGAGCCGGGCACCAGCAGCGCGCAGACGCACATCGGTGCTGTGCGTCTGTGCCTTGGACAGCAACGCTCCACCGCCCATAGGCGTTGCAACACCCAAAGCCCCTATAGGCGCTGCACCCTTGGCAGTGGGAGCAGCAGCAGCAGGGCGGTCAAGGGTGGTTTGGGCGAACATCTCTGGCGACATGGGGATGATGGCCATGGCCTTGTGCGGCTTCTTGCTGCCCTTGTGGGCCTTGGGGTGCAGCTTGGCGCGGCGCTGGCGGAACATGTGCGTGTAGAGGTGCAGCCAGAAGAGCGGATATGCCGCCAGGATGACCTGGAATGGGAAGGAGAGGGGGGGAATGGGAGGGGGGTTGGGGGGTGAGGAGTCGGGAGTAGTTCTTTCAGTTTGCTCTGGGAGGTTGAGAGGAAGGGGGACTACCAGGAGGGGGGACTACCAGGAGGGGGGACTACCAGGAGGGGGGACTACCAGGAGGGGGGACTACCAGGAGGGGGGACCACCAGGAGGGGGGACTACCAGGAGGGGGGACTACCAGGAGGGGGGACTACCAGGAGGGGGGACTACCAGGAAGGGGGACTACCAGGAAGGGGGACTACCAGGAGGGCGTGAGAATGAAAATGAAGGGTTGGGAACGAGGATAGTGTCAGGCACGGGGTTACATGTGTTATTGGATATCATAACGACGACGTGGCACTGACAATGCTGACGTGGCACTGACAATGCTGACATGGCACTGACAATGCTGACGTGGCACTGACAATGCTGACGTGGCACTCACAGCGACGACGTGGTAGCAGTCGAAGGGCAGTGCATCGAAGAGGAAGGCGAGTGGGCGCTCCGCCTTGACGAAGGGCAGGGAGCGATAGATGAGCACCACTGCAAGCAGGGGGAGGGGAAGAGACAAGGGAAGTTGTGAGGCGCCTCAACAACGGCAGCGAGTGTTACATGTGCGCCACTGCGCGCGCGGTTTGGGGGTGGGAGCGGGGAGGATGGAGGAGGTTTGGGCGGTTGCGGACGGTGGGAAGCGGAATAAGAGCGGAGAGAGCAGTGCAGATGTGAGTAGAAGGTGGACAGTGTGCGCAGCTCGAAACGTGTCGGCAGGTGCTGTTTACGAGGAGAGTAATGGGTCGCCATTCACTCGCCCCGCCACTCCCCCCTCCGCACCTCCCCTCCCCTCCCCCTCTCTCTCCCCGCCGCCACTCACTCTCCCCGCCGAACATGCCGATGGGGTACAGCGGGATGAACGCCGAGTAGCGCAGCCACGTCAGCGCGCGCGGACACGTGCCCAGGAGTGAGAGCGCGTACTGCGGATAACGGATGACCTGGCAAGGGGGAGCAGCGAGGGACGGGGTGAGGAGAGATGGGATCGCGTGAAGGAAGGAGCATAGTATGGGGAAAAAGGGGAAGCGGAGGACGAAAATATATTTGCTTTTCTTAACTCCCGTCAGCTAATTATCAAGAACGGGCAGTACGCATTTATATTTAGCTGCTTGATTCAACTTTTCTCCTTGGCTATGCAGCAAGCTGGTGTGCTTGAACCGCGGAATTTAGCGGACTGTACCGCGACCGCCACTCTTCGCGGTACTCACCTCGGAGCAGCACCAGACGGCGAGCAGCACGAAGAGCGCGGCGTGCGTGTGGAGGGCGGGCGTGCGCCCCACGACCGCGAACAGCACGAAGCTCCGCCCCAACCACTGCACCAGCGGCGCCACCACTCCGCTCCGCACCAGCCCTGCGCGGCGACGGGGCGACGGGAAATGGGGCGATGAGGGGGAGTTGGGGAGCGGAGTGAGTGCAGAAGGGAGGACGGAGGTACGGGAAGCGCGGGAGAGAGCAAAAAACGGGAATTGCTGGAGAAGAACGGAATTGCGTGCAAAGAGAGAAAAAGGGTAAGTGTGGGAAGAGAAGAGCGGAAAGTGCAGTCAGGGGGGGGGGGGGGGTGGGCGCGATTCGTACCCGTGGCGGCGTGCACGGTCTCGAGAATGGACGCGAACTGACAGACGTCTGCAGGGACGGGATAACGGGGAAAACCGGATTTTGAGAACTAATCATTGTTACGGGAAACAGATGGCAGCATGGAGCAAGTTTTTGACGGCCTCAGCAGCGATTCGCTGCTTGCGACCCTTAGCATGCTGCTACATGCCAACTCCTTCCATTACCCCACGGTGAAAGAAGTTGGGGAAAGTGAGGACACAGCGGGAGGGCGGGGGCGCGATAAGCGCGGGACGTACAGACGAGGGGCCACGCGGAGTGGAAGGCGCCGGCGATGGAGGCGGTGGTGGTGGCGCTGTACATCATGGCGGCCAGCGCCGCGGCCCTGATGTGGCGGCGGGCGGAAGGGGTGCGGTGGGATGGCGCAAAAAGATGAAGCAGGCGAAGCAAGGCGCAAAAGGCGTGGCTCGCGTGGGGGCATGGAGCATGGTGCGTGATTTGGGGTGCATGGCGGGAGGGAATGCGCTGGGAGGGGAACGACGAGGGCCATGGAGTTCTGCTAAGGAAGCGGGGAGTGGCAGCGCAGACGGTGAGAGGCGTACCATCCAGCGGCCTGCGCGAGGTTGTACGCGGCGAGATACGATTTTGTCAATGACGCCATTTCGTGAAGAAGGGAAACCAGTTTTTGGTGGAGCTGTAGTCTAACTAATGTAAAAGTGAATCAAGGAGGTCTAGTGCTTCAGATGTGCGTATGATATTAAAGCACCGCGTTAGCTAGTCGTAAGTTTCTCAAAGCTACTGCTTTAGGTAAGCTCGCTTCGTCCTTGTTGCTCTGCTACGCCTCAAGAGTACTCGCGCGTTTTGCGGTTCTTGCTGGAATTTGAACACGAAAGTTGAGCAGTCGGTTCGGAGGTAGAGCCAAAAGAAGGAAGATTCACCGACTTGCCCCAATTCCCCAAATTCTTTCCGTTGATGTGACGATGCGACTCGACGAGTTAGTCGCAACCTACAGCAGACCACCACTTCGCACATCGCTACCACCAGTAAACACCTCGGCGCACGACGTCCACGACTTCGCACGAAATTCTTTGCTGAAAATTGAAGGTGAATGTGAGTGGCTTCCAAAACAAACGGAACGAATACGAGTCGCAAGTTGTCGTGATGGGCGTCGCACGCAAAACAAGCTTTGAGCGGAATGCGGGCGCCAAAGCATTTTCCATCAACCCGCGCAAATACACGACCACAATCTGCGACAGGGGAAATTCCGTTTTTGTTGGCTAAGCTGTCGCGAACACTTGCCGAGATAGGGTAACTTCTTCGTTGATAAAACATGTGTTACAGAGAAATGATGATACATGCCTACATTTGATAGTTCAGAAAGTTGCTGCATGGGCCAATATCACTAACGAGGTGGCGTTTAATGAATTAGCGCTTCACAAGTCCAAGAAGCGTCGATGCACGAATTCGCTTTCGCGAAGCAACCCAACTCAGTCGCGTGTCTTCGTGTGTCAACAACGAGCCACGTCTGTCGCAAATCGTCGTCTCATCGTCGCAGGCAGGTGCTGCAGAAAGGAGAAGCAACCCTGCCTCGCAGCCACCCAGGCATCTTCCCTTCCGCCGACCTTCCCCGTCTCGCGTTCCTCTCTCCGCCAGTTCTCCATCTACGCGGACTCGCTAGGAAGCCTACTCCACCAACCTCGAGAACCATGTTAGATCGTGAGGAACCCAACTGAACCGCATCCGGCAAACATGACAAGAACACGCCGATTGCCCCTTTTTTTGGTACCCTAAAAATTCTCGGACCTAGAGCTTTCCCTTACTATTCCTAGATTGTACCGTTCTCTTGACGTTTGTGCGTTCCACTCACTCTAACCCTAGATTCCGTAATTCCGTGACTGCCGCTCGCGCTTCGAAGTGTTCGTTCCAGCATGGCCTCTCGCGGAGGAGCAACGCCGTCTAAGGGTTGCCTGCAGCGGCTACAGCGAGAAATGAAGTTAATTACCAAGGTGCTGACGCCTTGTGTCCAATTCTCTAGGTGCCTTGAAAACAGTGCTGACAGCCACCGAGCCGTCGTTTTCGCCATTGCCCAATCGTGCTAGTCGCTTTCTCTTCCCTGGAGGTCACGATGATAACTTGTCGCTCCTCCGGCTGCGCTCGACTAGGACCTTTCTTAATTTCTTATTCGGTCAGCGGTTGGTCTAAGCCGGACTATCCTTTTCCTCGCGCTCATTGCGGTGCGACCCGCATCGCCTCTATTTCAGGAGCCGCCGCCGCACATCCGCGCGAAGCCGAACCCCGCCGACATGCTGGACTGGCGTGAGTGGCCACTCACCATATGCGCTTTCACTGGCCGTCATATGGCCACTCGTCATATGGCCACTCGTCATATGGCCACTCACCATATGACGCTCCACCATATGCGCTTTCACTGGCCGTCTCTTGCGGCGCTTTCCGCGTGCTCCTTTGCTCCCGCCGTCATCCCCGTGCTAAAGCCATCATCATGCCGTCGTTCTTCTCCTGCCTCTCACATTGTGTACCTCCACGTCATTGTTCGCAATTCTGACGTCACCACTTCCAATGCTTCACCTACCTTTTCTTCTAAGCGTTGTCTTCTCTCTCCAATCACCACCCGCCACCACCGGCTCCTTCCCCTTCCCCCCCGCCTCCCCTCCCCCTCCCCGTCCTCTCCGCGCGCCAGACTTCGTGCTAGAAGGCAGTCCCGGCACGCCGTACGAGGGCGGGTGGTACCACGGACGGCTCAGATTCCCCGCCGACTACCCCTTTAAACCGCCGAGCATCATGATGCTTACCCCCAACGGACGATTCGCCACCAGCACTCGCATATGCATGAGCATGAGCGATTGTGAGTGTACTCTTCCTTCACACGGTTTCTTTGCTGGTTAAGCTGCCCGTTAGGGTTTCGCACTGCTTCTCGGTCGTTTGCCTTGCTTCTCCGTGGCGTACAGGTTCCGCACTTATGCCTCGCTGCTCGTGTCCATGTCTGCTGCTGTCCCCGTCTGCGTGTGCCATGGCTGTGTGCAGTCCACCCCGAGACGTGGAACCCCATGTGGTCCGTCGCCAGGTACCGCTCTCTTCAACCCTCACTAACGTCCTCACTCTCCCACGCCCTCGCTCTCTCCCACGCTCTCGCTCTCTCCCACGCTCTCGCTCTCTCCCACGCCCTCGCTCTCTCCCACGCTCTCGCTCTCTCCCACGCCCTCGCTCTCTCCACGCCCTCGCTCTCTCCACGCCCTTGCTCTCTCCCCATGCGAGTAATGCACCTGACGCTGCTCTGCGCTCTCGCTTCATCTTTCAGAGCGTGTCTGCCTGCATTCGTTCCTTCGCGTATCTCGAGCCCTTGCTGTTTTCGCCGTACCAAGGCTCCTCAACTCCAAGTTCTCATGGCCTGAGCTCCATCCATCCCATCCTCACTGGATTCATCTCTCCCTCCATTCCGCAATCCCCTGCCCTATCACTTGCAGCATTCTGACCGGCCTTCTCTCCTTCATGGTACGTGCTGACGTCGTGCTGTGCCCTCGCAGTGCTGTGCGCTGCTGTCTTGGCTGCACTCGCACATTCACGCCCACTGGTAGTGCATCCGCTTTCTCTGACGTAAGCAGGCTCTGCTTATAAGACTGCTGAGACATGCGCCAGTTGTCATGCACACCTACAATTTGGCTGTCACGGTTGCACTGTGCTGTGCTGTGCTTGGCTGTGCTGTGCGGTGCAATGTGCGTGCACTCACTCACTGCTGTCCATGCTCTACCTGCCTGCTACCCCTGTTCCCTGCCCACCTCTTCCCCCGTGCTCTCTCCTCCCCTCTACCTTCTCTTGTCCTCACAACCCCTCTGCTCCCCCTCCGTTCCCCCACTCCTCCTCCCTCCCTGTCCTGTGGCCAGTCGGACGATGCAGTGACGGCGGGCAGCATAGTGGCATCGGAGGCAGACAGGTGCAAGCTGGCACGCCTCTCCATGCCCAACAACTGTCGCAGGTACTGCCCGCACTGCCTGCATGATGTCTGCTTATCCTTCTCTGCACATCCCATTAAGCTGCCGTCGTTCCGCTCGCCCTTGTTCCTCTCGCCCTCATTCCATGTGGATTCCTCTCAGCAATCCTTCGTCAGTTGGTCAACACTGCATCTTTCCTTCTTCACGTCCCTTTATGCCTGTTGCTCCAAACCCCCCCTCTTTCTCCCCCTCTTTATCCCCCCCTCCACCCCAACCCCCCCCTCAGCCCCGTGTTCCGCAAGCTCTTCTCGGACCTGGTGGACAGCTACACCGCCTCGCTGGCGTCCGCAGCAGATGCAGCAGAGGGTGGTGCTGATGCCGCCAGCAGAGCTCAAGAGGAGGGCGCGGAGGGGAGGGGGAAGGGCACGGGGAAGGGCAGGCGGGTGGTGGAAGCTGCTGCTGGAGTGGTGGGCGGGCGGGAAGGGAAGGGCAGTGAAGGGGGGAGGGAGCTGAGGGTAGGAGGTCAGGGAGGGGCAGAGAGAAAAGAGGGGGGCGTGCGGAGGGTGGTTAGAACAGGAGGGAAGACGGGTGTTGCTGGTGCGTTTAGCGCAGGGAAGGCAGTAGAGGCAGGAGCGACAGGATCAGGCAGTGGGAGTGGGAACCAGCAGCCGGGTCTTTCAAGCTTGTCCTTTTGGGTCACTGCTGCCGTTGTGCTGCTGTGTGGGTGCGTCATGGCGGTGCCATTCCTTGATTCCTTGTCGGCGTCCGTGCTTCGGCTATCTTGACAGCCGACATGTTGCATGGCAATTACGATTTTGTTTTCCTGTTGTGCTGTACTTGCATGTCTTATTACATTAGTTCAAACCGTTTGTACTTTCTGTAATTAATCAATATAATAATTCTCTAGTTCGTAGCGGGACAAGCTTGAATCGCAGTTTCTTTTCCCCAATCGCGGCGCAACCTCCCAGCCCATCTCATACCCCGCCTCACATTTCCTTCGCAAGGCTTCAAAGGCTGCCGTGCCGTGCCCTACGCGTGAACAGCAGCTGAAGCCCGCTACTGCATTTTCAACCGACGCCCGCTTCACCTTCCCTTCATTCCTCGCGCACACGCTCGCTGCCGCTGCCACCTTGCAGTCCTTGAAACCTCCCAATCCTCCTTCATATCTCCAGCGCCTTTACGCTTCCAAGTTACCAGTCATGACAGTTAGACACGTACCGAGGGTAGCACTGCTGCCTTCCTCGGCTCATCATTCGCGTTCGTCGCTTTTTATCCGCAAGTCTCCTTCGCCTCAGCGCTCTCTAGTTGAAGGCATCTGCACTCGCTGCCTTCCTGCAAATTCAAGTCACGAAAACCAATCGCGCGTGCCTCTTAGGGCTGTCTCGTTGATCCCCCGTCCTCCCCGCGCCACGCCATGAAGAGCCCCAGCGCGCAGATCTCGCACGCGCTTACGCGCATCCACGCCGCCATGCACCGCCCCTCGTCCCCCGCGCCTGCGCCGCCATCATCCCCGCCGTGCGCGGGGAGCCCTCCTGACGACGCCACGCGACGGTCTGCGAGTCGCCGAGCGTCGCAGGAGCGCACGGCGGAGTTGCTCCAGCAGTCGTTCCGACCTAAGGTGTTGCCATCCGCGCCCGCTCACGCCCGCGCGTCCATTCCGGGGTTGCCTGATGGGGACGGCGGGAGCGAACGGCGGAGAGGCGCGATGAGAAGCAGCAGCGGGCCGCGGGAGGGACGGTTTGGTGGAGGGCCGCCGCGAGTGACGGAGAGTCCCGCGGCGCCGGGACGCGCGACGCTGAGGAAGCAACTGTCGAGCGACATCGCGCCGCTGCTGCTGCGACTGAAGCGGCAGGCCACGCCCACGCGCGTCCGCAGCCAGTCGCCCGTGCTGTCGCCCGTGCAGTCGCCTCGCGACGTGTGGGAGGCTGCGGAGGCTGGGAAGCTTTTTGATTGGACCAGCAGGGACACGGAGTGTACTACCGGTAATGCCAAGTCAGCGAGGGCGGTTGTTGAAGAAGCGGAAATAGGTTCCTCACTCACAGCGAGGCCTGCTATTACAGTTGTGAGGAGGACGATTCAAGCCCAGTTGCTGGGGCAGCCATGGTCCCCAAACAGCACCTTGGAAATACCCGATGATGACCTGTCACTGTGGCGAGATGGGCAGTCCCAGGCCTCTTGTTGCCACCGGGATTCGCCGGGATGCACGAGCGATGTGCGGCATGTTTTGTGTGAGAGGAATCATACCCGGCATACATTGTCTGAACGACGCTCCTGTAGCCCAAGTACATCATTAAGAAGTGCTTCCTGCGAGGCAACTCGCCAGGTTCTGGTAGGGAAACCATCAATCCAATCTAAAGGGAGGGGACGGCTTGCAGCAACCATCACTGCAAGGCAGCAAGTGGAGCAGGACCAGCGGCCAAGATGGAGTTTATGACTTGAATGAACGGAGGGGAAGCTTTGTATACAGGTGTGCATAGGGAAGCGTATGAAGGGTACCAATACACTGTACTATATAGTTTTGCTCGTAGGAATTAAGATTAGACTGGATCACTACTTGCTGTGCTGCAATATATGCTATCTAGTGATTATACCTTAAAACCGGGGTGCACATTCAGCTGAATGTGCATCAAAGGTTATCCCTTGACTGAGTGGGTTACGAGGTGTGCTTTCAACCCCTTCGAGTCGAAATTCGTTTCCCCCCTCCCCCGCAATTTCGTTTCCCCACGCCCCCGCAATTTCATTTCCCCCTCCCCGTCGAAATTCGTTTCCCCCCTCCCCCGCAATTTTGTTTCCCCCCTCCCCCGCAATTTCGTTTCCCCCCCCTCCCGCCAATCTGTTTCATCCCTCCCGCCATTCGGTTTCACCCACACTTGCCATTTCACCCCCTCCCGCCACCTACGAAATGCCCGAAGCTCTAGCGGAATCATTTTTTTGTCGCCCCTCGTGAGCCAATCACTGTTTTTCTCCAAACCCCCTTCCCAACATCTCAAGCCGAACCGCGTTGAATGTGCACCCTGGTTTTAACAGAGGTGATGAGTTTCAACGGAATCTTCTAGGCTCAAACATGTACAGTAGTATATTTCGCCTCGGGCACTGGTTTTGTCTGCGAGCTCCGACCAATCGTCAAGCGGCAGCTTCCTTTCCCACGGAACTGCCGAGGCTCGGCTGACCTGCGGGGTGAGCATCAGGCGAGGCGAGTCGAGGCGAGACCAAGCGAGGTGAGGCGAGGGCGAGGCGAGGTCAGGGAAGGACCATAACGTCAGCAAGAGCTGTCATGGCGTGACGATTTTTTCCTCAGTTTGATTCTAGAATCTGCCTCTTATTTTCCCAGCGTCTTATCTTTACAGCGTCCCGTACCTGCTCATCCACGCATCGCTCATCGCCTTGCACCGGTCATTTGCACTTGCTCTTCGCCTGACGTTACGGACGAGCCGATAGCCCTGCTCTTTTACGCTGAGCTGCGAGCCCCGGTAGAAGCGCCATGGCGGATGAGGTGTCGCTCGCTGAGCAGGTTCGCTCTGACGTTCTCCTTTCGAGTCCGATGCTTCTATTATTTGACACATTCGGGTCCCGATTCGTCAGCTTAGCGTGACGAACCGGCTGTCACCTTGCTTCAGACTTTTTCATGGATTTTATTCATGGATATTCTTCGATTCAAGTGCATATGTTCCGCGTTCCTGTTCCTTCCTCATGCGTCCTTGCTTTAGCTCCCTCCTAAGTAGGCCGTGACGGTTGGCGATCTTGCATGCACTCCGTCCCCCCTCATTTGATCGCTTGCCATAAGACCCTTGCGGACGTGCTCACTCGTGGCGTGCGCCACCATCTATGCTCCATGATTTAGGCCCAGCATACATGGTCCATAATACATGATTCTTGATCCATGCACCTCCATCTTTTATCCATGATTCGTGCAGGAGGCTCGGCTGAAGAAGAAGTACGGCGGAGCTCTGCCTAAGAAAAAAGGACTGCTTTCCAAGGTGTTATGCCGACCTTCTGCCTTATCGTCGCTTCCATTATGATGCAGTTTTTTGAACTTGTTTGCTGGTCTGCTTGCGTCAGCATAGCTTACGATTGGGCATTCTGTTCCATTTCTTCTTGATTTCAAACGCATAGCCTTTCTACTTCTACTCCCATTCGGCGGGTCAATTCCTTTCTCCAAAGAGCTCATGATTACTCACCCGCTAGCCACGCGTCTCCCGCCACGTGTCTCCCGCCACGTGTCTCCCGCCACGTGTACCTGCAGGGCCACGAGAGGGCCTTCTTCGACTCCGCCGAGTGGGCCATTCAAAAGGTACAATCGCGTCGCACGCATCACGTCGCATTGCATTGCATCCTGTCACATTCGTCGCGTCTGCTTGCTGGCATTTCCATCTCAACCCAAACGTCCTCGCATTTGCTTTTTCTCCGTGCCTTTGGTGTGCCTCCACGAGCAGCAAAAGGGCGCCAAGCCGGCAGCACCAGCAGAGCAGGGTCTACAGCCGAAGCTAGAGGTACGGGGGCGTTCTAGGTTCCACACGTTAGGGTTATGTCAAAATGAAAATGGAAAAGAACAAATTCAGTGTTTGCGTGTGGTAATCCATGTATGTAAGGCAACATGTACTCAATTGTATGCAGATATTGTTTGTGCAAGCATATGTCACCCTTGCTGCCCTCCTTGCTGGGTCAGCTTGATTCAGTTTGAGACTGACGTGCAGTGTCTGATATGCCTGGTATGTGGATTGCCATGTGTTGTGTGTGCATCCAGCCTACCCCACATCAACCTCCCACGGGTCGTCGCTCCGGACTGGCTGAAAATGACTCGTGACGTGGGGCTTGCTCCGGCACTCTGCACATGCCCATGGTCAGTGCTCTAGTGTGAATGGTGATCGCTTGGTGCTGCAGCGATTTTGCTTCGTGCTGTCAACATTTATGGCTGATCTTTGAAGGTAGAAGTGCTTGGCTGAGTCTATCGCATTCCCTTCTCGCTCCGGTGCTGCTGCAGGCAACAGGGAGCTGACCAGGTGCTGCATCAACCTGTGGAACGTGATTTCTTCTGCTCTACCCATGACCCTCACGTCCTTCCCATGGCCTGACTTGTGCCCACCATGGCATTTCGCCCCCCCATACTGCCACTCCCAGCGCCTCCCGTCTTGTGAACATACATTGAGAGGCCCGCACTAAGATGGCGGACATGTCATGACGTGCTTTCTTTTTGTCATTTCTCTTGTACAATTATCCCTGTACCGCTTGTGGTGAAAGCATTTGTCTACAGAGCCTGGTATGCATATTGCAGTGTAAGCAGAGAGTAGGTGCCCCAATCTTGAGTCGACCAACAGTTACATCATAAGCAGAGGTGCTGAAGACTGGAATGTGGCCTCTTGCTAAGTTCAGAATACAGCACCATACTCCAATATGAAATCAACTGCAAAATCACCATTATTGCTAAAGCAGACAAGTGAGCCACACTTCCAATGCAGGAGTCCTATCAGTAGAAAAGTGGAGAGGCAGCACGCCTCACTAACAGCCCAGTCCATGGAACTCTGCATGACTGGACCATTGTTTGTCACTGCGCCTCCCCAACTTGCCACGCTGTGAGTCCTGCTTCCAGGCTTCCACGGCACGGCACCTCACCGCACGCCCTGCTCACTGCAGCGCAGCTCTCTAGACCTCGAAGCCCCATCAGAGCCGCATCACCCATGTCCACTTTCTGCCATCTCAACCTTCTTTCAGCAGGTGAACCCAAATCTCACAATCAGCGCCACGAATATATGCCATCCGACGGGCGTCGGGCGCTGGGCCGAATGGACGAGAGCATCTCGTCAAGCGCGAGAAGGCCATAGCTTCGTGAAGCCACTACTCGTACGCCACTGCCATGCATAGCGCGCCCATGCGGCTGCGCGCTATTGGTCGCTACCCTCGTCGCTGTCCTCCGCTGCGTCTTGCCCTGCCTGTTCCGCGCTCTCCGCTTCTTTCGCCCGCGCGCGCTGAATCGCCTTCCGCTTCCGCGCCGGAAGTGCCGCCAAGGCCTCCTCTTCCGCCTTCCGCTGCGCCTCCTTGGCGGCCTGCGCGCGGTCCCACTGGCGCTGGATCTCGTTGGAGTGGCGGCGCGAGAGGATGTATGCGAGCATGACGAGGCAGCTGGCCTGCACGGGACTGATCAGCCGCAGCAGCGCCAGCACGCCCGGCACCACCGCCAGCAGCACGTACTTCCACTGCTGCGACCGCTTCACCTCCATGCCGGACCGCGGCGACGGTGTACGAAAGGCGAGGCCGTGAGGTCCAGTGATGAGCGAAGCGAGTAGTGATTTGAGGTATTTTCTGAGCAGGAGTCAAATAAAACAGCAGCAACAAGATAACAGAGCGCGGCACGTGAGTCGTTGGTGCCCGATCACGTGGGTTGGAGTGGGGCCTTTCCGCCAACCCACGTCGAGCACAGCTGGTGAAACACGCACCCAGCAGGAGGGGTAAGAGTGTGCGACTGTGATGATGCGATGCGACGATGACGGGGACAACGACGTGTGCGACAACTGGATGGAAGGGTAGGATACAGTACTACATGTCACTGTTATGACGGTGGATGTATGCACGTCACTTTAATATATATAAAAAGAGAAACCACATATTTATTACTTATAAGCAGTGTAAGGCCAAGTTTTAACGTAGTCGTGGCTCAGTCAATAGAAAGAATTATGTACAAGAAATAAGAGAGCATGTTGGCTCTAAGGAACAAGACAGGTATGCACATGGAGGAAAGGAAGGATGAGATGAGAGCTACTACAGTTCCTTGTCAGCTTGCCACTGCTGCCACGCCCTGGAGGGCAGAATGATGAGGGATCATCGCTGACAGATGCCAAAGCAGCAAGACACTGTAACACAACGAAAGAATAAACAATAGGATTAATAAGCTGGTCGGTCAGAAGAAGCCATTGCAGGAGAAGAAAGGAGACGCAAATGGCGAATGGTGCACAAATAAGCTACACACCTTCAGTTCTGTCAGGGGAAGGCGAGGTGGCTGACAGCGACACACACACCGTGCCCTTCCCTGCCTCCGACTCACACACCACCGCCTGCACCGCCTGCCCTCCCACCTCCAATCTCACCGCCACTTCCCGCCCCCCCTTCTCACCCCCCCCTTCCCTCCCCTCCACAACCCCTCCCTTCTCTCCATACACCAATCCCACCCCGCACTCGTCTCCCACCTCTTCCTCCCCTTCCCCCTCCCCCTCCTCCTGCGCCTCGCCAGCTTCCCCCAGGGGGCGGGGAACGATGACGAAGTCAGAGAGGGGGTCGTAGAGGGGGTCCTTGCCGCGGACCTCCAGGAAGAAGTGCAGCAGGCTGAACACCCGCGGCAGCCGCAGCAGCTCGCGGTGCTCCGCTCCCGGCACGCCCACTCGGAAGCGCGCCGGGAAGCCATCCGCCTGCCGTGTGTGCCGGGAGGGTTGGGTTGAAGTGGGTGGAACGGAGGGGTGACGTGGCGGGGGGCAGTTCGAAAACTTGAGACGCATGGAGGAAAGCATGGAAAGACGGGGAGGCATGGAGGAAAGCATGGAGAGAGTGCAGCAGACACACGACAAGGCGAGATAGGGAGGGAGGGAGTGGGAGCAGAAGGCAGTGTGGCTTACGAGGGCGGATTCAATGGGAACGGTGCCGTCGCCGTGCACACAGTCAAAGGTGGCCTGCGAGATGGTGGGTGGGCGGGAGGCATGGGTCGACATACAGGGTGAACGAGGCTAACGCTTCAACGGGGGACGGGGAGGGCGAGCAGCACAGGCGGCGCAGGACAGAGCGAGCAGCAGGGGCGGGGGGTGGGGGAGAGGGGGGGATGGTTGCAAAGGGGGTGGGGCAGGAGAGGAGCGGCTCACGTCGGAGTGGAGGATGTCGGGCAGGTCGTTGAGCGGGTCCTTGGGCGACCCGTACCTGTTATGAGGGACGGGGGGACACAGCCATGAGGGGAGCAGCGCAAACGGTTACTGGCTCAATGCATAGGTGTCAGGAGTCAAGGAATCGATGCCAGAAAAACTGAGTGCGGAAGGAAAGGAAGAAGAGGGAAGGAGAGGAAGGAGAAAAGGGGGGGTGAGGGAGGGCGAGGGGCGTACTGGGAGTGGAAGGGGGTGTCGAGGCCGGTGCCATAGACGGTGTAGAAGTCGATGGAGGGCGGCAGGCGCGCCCCCGCCCAGATGCGCCTCGTCTCGTCCGCCCACCTCACGATGTCCCGGTTGAACGGTAAAGGCACTGTGCGCCCGTTCACCTCGATCTGCATGCCGCAGCACATGGGGGGCAGCATGGCACACGCAGCACAGCACAGGTGATCCATGGGAGCGCTAAGATGCACAGGGGCCACATGGGGCACATAGCATGGCTCGAATGGGTGGGAATGGGCAGCAAGAGGCCAGACTGAGTTGCCGGGACGCCGGAAATTTCAGCCGAAACCTGCCTGCACCTGCTGCTGCCCTTTCATTTCATGTGCTCTGCAGCGCACCTTATTGCCTTCCAGTGCTCTGTCCATGGCGGCAAGGATGTCCGGCAGGCGCGTGAAGCGCTGCTCCACCACGCCCTCGCCCACCACCGTCTCCATCACCCCCTCGCCCACCACCGTCTCCATCACCCCCTCGCCCACCACCGTCTCCATCACCCCCTCGCCCACCACCGTCTCCATCACCGCCTCCCCCACCGCCCTCCGCGGGCTGCCATCACCCGCCACAGACTCTGCCCCACTGCACGCCTCGCTGTCGCCGCCACTCCCACTGCTGCTGCCAATGCTGCTGTCTCTCTCGCTCCCACTCTCGCTCTCACTATCCGTCTCCGCGTCCGCTTCGCTACACACGCCCCCGCCGTCCCCCCGCCGTCCCTTCACCCCGTCCGGTTCCGCCTTGCTGTCGGGCTGGCGGCGCACGACGCGGAGCTCGGGCTTCTGGCCGCCCCAGTGGAAGTCATAGTCCGCCATGAGCTCGTACACCGATGGGCACTCCACCATCTGCGCGCGCGTACCACATGAGCACGAGGGGATGCGAGCAGGAGAGGCGATAGGAGAGGCGAGCAGGAGAGAGACAGGGGGAAAGGGGGATGGAGGGGTCAGAAGAACAGTCAGGGCTCGCCAGCCGGCCCAGTGGAAGTGGTAGTCCGCCATGAGCTCGTACACCGATGGCACTCCACCATCTGCCATGCCGCATGCGCGCACGAGAGGCGCAGGGGGAAAGGGGACGAAGAGGTCAGAGGAGCATCTCGGGCAGGCGGGCGCCCCAGTGGAAGTCGTAGTCCGCCATGAGCTCGTACACTGACGAACACTCTCCACCATCTGCGCGCCAAGCCCACGCATGCGCGCGGCACGCACGCGATGCAGAATCTTAGGTGATCGATTCAAAAGTGTAACGAAGGTACCATACAAGTGTTGAGCGTTGATAACCTTATCCTTTTGCTCATGAAGGATCTTGAGGAAAAGGATAAGGTTATCAGCACTCAGCGGGTACGTCACTTGCATGGTACCTTCGCTACGTTTTTTCATAGATCACCTAAGATTCTTCATCAGCTCATGTCTCATTCCAGGATTCTGAGAAGTAGGTGCAAGAACCATGTCCCTTACAAATGACAAGCAAATGGCTGAAAAAAAAGAGCAAACAAACAAAAACCATTACATTTTATAAAGAGCACTAGCAAGAGGGGGGGGTGTGAGGGGAAGGTGGTGGGGTTGCGGAGAGGAACGTGGTGATTTAGGGGGGAAAGTAGGTGCAAGAACCATGTCCCTTACAAATGACAAGCAAATGACAAACAAAAACCATTATATTTTATAAAGAGCACGAGCAATCGGGGGGGTGTGGGGGGAAGGTGGTGGGGTTGGGGAGGGAAGCGGGGTGGTTGTGGGGGGGGAGGGGAGGGGGAGGGAAACGGGAGGGAGAGGAGCGGGATTGGGAGCGCGTACGAGTTGGTGCATGGTCCACATAACGTACGAGTTGGTGCATGGTCCACATAACGTACGAGTTGGTGCATGGTCCACATAACGTACGAGTTGGTGCATGGTCCACATAACGTATGAGTTGGTGCATGGTCCACATAACGTACGAGTTGGTGCATGGTCCACATAACGTACGAGTTGGTGCATGGTCCACATAACGTACGAGTTGGTGCATGGTCCACATAACGTACGAGTTGGTGCATGGTCCACATAACGTACGAGTTGGTGCATGGTCCACATAACGTACGAGTTGGTGCATGGTCCACATAACGTACCAGTTGGTGCATGGTCCACATAACGTACGAGTTGGTGCATGGTCCACATAACGTACGAGTTGGTGCATGGTCCACATAACGTACGAGTTGGTGCATGGTCCACATAACGTACGAGTTGGTGCATGGTCCACATAACGTACGAGTTGGTGCATGGTCCACTTGGAGATGAAGAGCGACTTCTGCCAGCCCTTGAGGAACTCCACCCCCGTCAGCAGCGTGTCCATTATGAACCCCGGCGCCCCTGCCACCACCGCGCGCGGGGGTCCGGGTGGGACAGACAAAGGGGAGTGGGCGTGAGGCGAAGCGGAGGTGTTTATGCTGCCGGGAGGCTATGAGAGGGGAGGACGAGAGTGCAGCACGGAGCAGGAGAGAGAGACGTAGAGGGAGATGGAAAGAGAGACGTGCGGAAGAGCGGCGACAGCGCACATCCTGCAACGCTCCTTACAGGCGCAAGCACACTGACACAAGCAGCTCGCTCAACCGCCCCCCCGATGCTCCCCCCTTCTCCTCCCCCTCCCCTTCCCCTTTATCTCCCCCCCCCCTTTCCCCCCCAACCACCCCCGCTCGTCTCCTTGCGCACCTCGGAAGGGCGCGGCGATGGAGACCCACTTGCGCACGAGGCGCTTGGCGTCGGCGGGGTGCAGCGCGACGAGCGACTTGAAGAGCAGCCCGCCCATGCTGTGCGTCACCACGTCCACGCGCCGCCCGCTCGCCACCACTATCGCCTCCAGCCGCGCGCGCAGCCGGTCCAACGTCTCCGGCAGCCTGCCACGTGGACGAGCCAAGTGGCAACCGAGAAAGCGCTTACAGTTTGAATAATAATACGTGCAGTTGACACTTGAAACTGGAACATACTTTGGAATTCTTGAAAATTATAAGACACGAAAGAGCAGCGTGGGAGGCGGACCGGTTGCTTTGGCGGAAGTCGTAGCCGAAGCCGAAGAGCGTTTCGCCGTCCTTAAAGCCCCACTTGCGCATCTCGACGATGGTGTGGTGGTAGTAGCACACCACGTCCAACGGTACCGACTGCCATGGGGAACGAGGGGAACCGGCGGGGAGATAGGGTGACGGTGGGGAAGGGTGTTGCGGAGATGAGACAGGGTGGGTGTGAGAGGCAGCACGGAGCATTCCCGAGCAGCGACGGCAAGAGAGCGAGCACTCGCTGGACTCATAATCCGCACGCAGCACAGAGAACGCTTATGACGAGGAAGGTAACAGACGCTCACGACGTCAAAGCTATCAAATGCTTATGACGTGGACGCTAAGAGGTGCTTACGACATCGGGGTCGAGGATGTCGCAGCTGTAGAGCCCGTGATTGTCGTCCGGCACCTCGATGTGCGACTTGTCGTCCAGCGACTCCGACTTGCCTGCGACAACCACACGCCGCGCGCGGGAGGGCGGGGAGCGGGGGATTGGGAAGAGCGGGTGCGCGGGTGAGCGGGTAAGACGACTGGAAGCATGAGTAAGAAAAATAGTTTCCGCAGCGGAAGAACTCTAACCTGTTTTAGGGTTATATTTGGACCAAAGCTTTGTGCGGAACTCCTGATCCGCGTTGTAAAGTCGGACCCATATCCGCTCCTTCTTCTTCCCGTCTTCGCTAACCGCGTTAAGAATAGAGCCTCCAATCCCCGGTATAAGCAGCACCGGATTAAGATTCCCCGCCGTGTCGTGAGGCTTCGGACGCGGCTTGGGCCACCACGGTCGCCAGCCAACCATTTCTGCACTAGTTTCTTCTAAGAGCCTCTGAGACAACTAATGAGCTGAAACCCTAGAAGTGCGGTTGGACTGAGCGAGCCGAGAATGACGGTTCAAGTGGGGGAGGCGAGGGTGGGATGCAGGGAGTCAGGAGGATGCAGGAGGGTGGAAAAAAGTTCACGGTACCGCATTGCACCGATTCCATGAAGTTTTGTGGTTCGGAATGATGTAGCAAAATTGGGTGAGAGTGTTTGTGTGGTGGAGCGATGCGATGGCTGCCCGGAGCACTTCCCCTCCATCCAACCAAGCCTGACATGCCTCGCCTCGGCAGGCTCCCCGCCTTGTCTCAAATTCCCGTCAGAGCGTTTGACGGACAGAGAATGGGTGCCGCTGATGACAGTCTTGCGTGGCTGCGTAAGGCATTGGCAGAACGTGGCGAACTGTGGCGAAGGTTGTTGTCCCGTCACCTACCAAGCTAAAGCCGGAGCGAATTCGCGAATTCAAGCAAAATCGAACACTGCCAAAATGCGAACCACACTAACCAGCACCAGAACCGTCGTCATTTCGCAGATTCGCTGCAGCACGTAACCCTTATTCTGCCATAAATTCAAGCCTCGATATTTATTTCAAGCCCGACTTTCGAGATACCCAGCATCTTATCAATACAAGGATATTTAGGTCCAACGATCGCATCGCACTCATCGTAAGTCTGTCTAATTGCCGGAGCAATGCTGCCGTCATCAACTCGATAAAACACGAGCATCAACGCGCGGCGACATTTCCCTCATGGCGTCCCTTCAGCCGCGCCACAGCGGCTCCCCCAAGATCGCGACGCGATCGTCGTCGTCGGAAGGCGGTAAGCCTCGTTTTCTGTCGGCCGCCATGACCGCCGTCACTGAGCGCAACCGATTCACAGAAATCGTCTTCGCGGCGCTGCTGCTTTCCGCGTCGCTCCGCATCTGGCTCGATCTGCGCGTCCACGCGCCGCGGCCCGCCGACCTCCCCTGCCGGAATGACGACTCGCTTCAGCCGGCCGACCAATCGGCGTCATCCGCGTCAGCATACATCAACGACAGCGTCGTAGCGCTGCCGGGCCGCGCGTGGCGGTTGCCAGCGGGGGTGGCGCGGGCGTACGGCGGGCTGGGCGACGGCAAGGTGGACCCGGCGCGGTTCCGCCTGCACGTGAAGGTACTCGTCTTCGACCGCCCCGCGTACGCGCTCCGCTGCCTGCGCGCGCTGGCGGCGGCGCTGTACGACGCGGAGCCCGTCCATCTGGACGTCTTCGTCGACCACCCCTTCGCGCTGCGCGCCGACGCCGCGCCTTGGTCGCCGCGCGCCGCAAGACGCGTGGCGGCCTCCCATTCCCTAATGGCGCAGATCGACGCGTTCGCGTGGCCGCACGGGCCGAAGCGCGTGATGTACCGATCGCAGAGCGCGGGCGTGCAGGGCCAGTGGGTGGAGGCGTGGTGGCCGGAGAGCCTCGCTGACGTGGCGCTGATGGTGGAGGACCACGTGGTGGTGTCCCCGCTGTACTACCGCTACCTGAAGCGCCTCCTGGCGCGCTACTACTTCCGCCGCGCGGACTTCGACCCGCACGTGCTGGGCGTGTCGCTGCAGCGCCAGTCCTTCGTGCCCGGGCTGGGCGCCGACCCGCTCCCCCCGCTGGCGCAAGGCGCGCCGTTCCTGTACGCCGTGACGGGCACGTGGGGGCAGGCGCTGCTGCCGGGGCCGTGGCGGCAGTTCCGCCTGTGGCTGGACGAGCGGCGGTACAACGGCAGCAGACAGCCCCTTGTGGGCGGGCTCAAGACCACCCAGTGGTTCCGTGACAAGGTGGGGGGAGGGGGGGGGGGAAGGGTGGGGGGAGCGGTTTATGGGGGCAGGTGGGGGAGGGAGAGGTGAGAGGCGATAGGAAGTTGAAGTTGCGCCGTTGCGTCATCGCCCTCCACGTCTCTTCAACTACTTTTCTCCCCCTCCCCCCCTCATTCCCCTTTTCCACCCCGCCCTCTGCTGGTGGTGCGTGTGTGCACACCACACCACAGGGCAACAGGAGGTGGTCGCCGTGGGCCATCAAGTGGGCGCACAGCAGCGCCATGCTCTCACTCTACCCGCCCCTCCCCGCCAACCTCTCCCTCGCCTTCCCCCTCAAGCGCGCCGCGCCCCCCTCTGACGCCCCCCTCGTGCCACTGCTCCCGGGGATGGCCACACCTGGGGGGAGGGCTGCTGGTGGGGGCGCGGGTGGGGGGAGCGGGGGCAGTGGGGGAGGGGGCGGGGAGGGGGGAGTGGAGGGCGCGGTGAGGGCGTGGATGGAGGGGCCGCTGCCGGGCATGGCGCGGGTGAGGCGCTTCGACCTGTGTGCTCGCGAGCTGCCGCACCTCCCCGTGGGGCACTCCCTGCCCGACCTGCACTCCCTCCTCTCCGCCGTCGCCCAGGTGCGCTGCTTTTCTGCTCTGCCCATTGCTCTGTATTCTGCTCTGCTCCCAACCCGTGCGACGTTGTGGGCCAATGCGCCTCTCCATGTCATGCTGTGCCAAGGATTCACTCTCTTCACTGCTCATCTCTGACCCCCCCCCCTCTCCCTTCCCCCCCACACCCCTGTGTTGCAGGACAAGCGGGTATCGCTGGTGGTGGTGCCGAGGGGCGGCAGGGACGAGGTCAACAACTGGCTCTGCCACCTGGACGGCAGCGGACTGCGCTCATTCGTCCTCATCGTCCCCCACGCCAGCCTGGCAGCTGAGCTGTCCGCACGAGGTTTCGCTGCCTTCCACCTGCCGCCACTCAGCAGACGCCAGGTGGCGCAGGGACTAGGGCAGCTGGCAGCAAGGGGAGGGGTGAAAGCAGTGAGGGAGAAGGAGGGGTTAGAGGAGGAGGAGGGTGAGGAGGTGGATACTGGCGGGCAAGTGGAGGGGGAGGGCGAATTGGAGGAGCAGGAGGGTGAGGAGGAAGGGGGGGAGGGAGGGGGAGCGCGCAGCAGGTGGACGGCGAGGCACATAGAGGTGGTGGTGGCAGCGCTGTCGCAGGGCTTTGATGTGTCTCTTAGCAACGTGGATGCCGTGTGGAGAGGCGACCCCATGGCCACTGAGGCCCTCGGGCTCATCCCTGCTGACGTGGACATGTGGGGCCACCTTGACACTGCTGACGTGGCATCCAGCTTCTTTGTGATTCGTTCCCGTGCCGCTACAGTCTCGGCGTGGGGCCAGCTGGCTAAGCTGTGTGCGCAGGCGCCCAAGGGGGGAAGCAAGGGGGACTTGGACAAGGCGGAGGTGGGGTGTGGGGAGCCAGGGAGTGGCGTGCAGCAGAAGCAGATGCGGGTGCTGCTGACTCAGGCAATGCATTTCAGGGAGGTGGATTCGATACCCTTTGGACGCGATGGCGCAGTGCGTGTGCCCAAGGGAACGTTGCTGCCTGCTCTACTGCCACCTCAATTCGCAACAAAAGGGAAGAAAATCAGAAGTATGGATATGATTGGGCTTTGGGTGATTGATGATTCTGACCTTGTTTGTAAAGCTGTAACTTGCAAAAGGAAGCTGTACAGCCCTGCTTAGGATTTTTCTTTAATCAGTCTCCCGCCTAGGCTTCAGTTCAGTGCACAGAGCTCCCAATACGGGAAAGTTTTATCCCTGAAAGTCGCAGTCAGGATAATAAGGGCACACTTGATTTTAACCAGCTAGTTTTACATTGTGGTTCATACTCACTCTTTGACTATGTTGGTGTTCAGAGAATTTAAACGCATCGCGCCTATATATCTGAATTCTATTTGGGCACTTTACGAACCTCGCCAATGTCTGTCGATTGGTTCACAGTTGTCGTCAAAGACCGTGAATCGTCGCCAGAGGTTGGTTGGAGGTTGCTGGCAGTTGTGTGGCTGGGAGGGCAGGACAGCCGATGCGCGACAGCAAGCGGATGTGGCGCACTGCTGGCATTGGGAGTGACGGTGAGGCGGAAAGGGCGTCATCTGAAATTCGCGTTGCTCAGCCGAGACGCGTACCGGGGGGAATGAGCCCCGCCAATAAGTGTCGAGGAAATGGTGCAATGTCGATGTCAAGATGCATGCATTTCGGTTTTACAGTGCCCCCTGCTGCCATGGCTGCCGTGCTTCAACCACACACACGTGACTTTCCTGATCCTAGCACGAAAATCCGTCTCGATCCTTCACTTTCCTTGCTTGTGCTGTGCCTCTGCCATACCTGAATTCTAAAACTTCTACTTATCTTCTGTTGCACTTGGTCGCACTTGTCCCCACACGTCAATAGCTGCGCAGCGGACACCGATATCCTATTAGCCGAACGACGAAGTAGCGAAAATGATCGTGACTATGGCGAGCCAAGCAGTAGCGCCACGGCAGTGGGTTCCGCCCGCGGCGTCGCGCGGGGGTAGGCGGGGCAAGTGCTCGTGGGGGCAATTTCACCTTCAGTGGCGGGCGGCGAGTGCGGGGTTGAGGATTCGCGAGGCGCAAAGGCCGTCAGGTGAGGGCCGGCGCGCGGTCGCACGCGCGTGTAGGCTACTGCATGGCGTTGGGTCTCTCCCATGACCATCGCCTGGAATGCCTTCCTTACCCCGCTGCCTGTTGTTAAGCTGACTGCGTCAAGACGACATCCGCGCTGAATTTCCCCGTGAAAATTAGCGCCTTGCTATCCCCGCAAATTTCTCGCAATTCGCGTCATGACACCGTGTGCGACAACCTTTCCCGCACAATGAATAACATCTCCACCCTGCAGCGCGTGCGACTGAAGTTCGCCTTCCACTGTGTTCCCCGTATCGTTCCCCGCATCGTTCCCCGCATCGTTCCCCGCATCGTTCCAGCCATCCATTCCGCAGGCCCGGCCTTCAAGCGCCCGTGGCATCGACCGCCGCCATCGCCGCGCGGAGTGAAGGCGCTGCGAGTCCGCGCCGCGCTGAGCCTCGATGCCGCGCGGTGAGTTGCTTCCGTCGCCTTCAATTCTCTTCAGTAGAACTATCCCTGTCACACACCCACTTGTTTCTTCGCGCCACGACTCCATTTGTTGCCCCCCTGCCGCACGCTAGTTCTGTCTCCGCAATTGCGCCACCTCTCTTTATTCTCCGCGCTTTCCCCCCTCCAGAAACACCGCGGCGGTCGACCCCTTCTCGTTGCTCTCTGCCGTTCCGCCGCTCCGCGCGCCGTCTCTGGAGGAGGGCGCAATGTGCATGACGATGGGGGAGAGCCTCGCCGTCGCGGTCGAGGCGGCAGGCGGAACCCGCCGGGCGGAAGAAGGATATCCGGGCGCGGCTTGCGCTGCTGACGACGCGCCACTGACGCCCAGCCGCCTGGTGCGTGCGCGCGCCGTCTGTGCTGCGAACCCCGTGCTCTTCCGCTGCCCATCTCCTGACCCACTTGCTATAACTGGCCCCATGCCCCGTGACCCACCGCGTCCCCTCCCCTCCCTCGCTTTTCCGCCCTCCCGCCCTCCAGGCGTCCCGGCTAGGCGTGCTCTTCTTATCGGCCGCCGCGGCAGCAGCGGCGGGAACTAGCATGCCCGCGCAGGCCGTGCAGGCGGAAGCAGTGCGGGCGGAAGCCGTTCAGGCGGAAACAGCTTGGGCGGAGGCAGTGCAGGCGGAGGCAGCAGCGACAGCAGTGACGGCTCCCGAGGCAGAACGCCAGAGCGCAGAAGTGGCGTGGCAGCTGCCGCCTGTAGCGGTGGTTGCTGCTACAGCTGTGCCGGCTGTCGGTCCAGGTGGCGGCAGTCGTAGTCCACGTAAGCAGACAGCTCAGCAGCACGTGGCCGCGCTGGAGGGGCGCATGCAGCGGATGATGGCGTGGGTGCGCCAGGGCAGGCGGGGGCGGGCGGAAGAAACGGGGGAAGCGGGGCGCGAGGGGCAATCAACGGCTGCGCAGCAGGCCGAGGTTAGGGCAACATCAGAAATTGCTGTCGCTTCGCTCTGCTTTTCGCGCTTTCCTCCTTCATTTGCCATCCGCCCTAGGTTAACCATCCGGCCCACTTGGTGTCACCAACCGTCCCTCTCCGCCTGTTCTCTCCCCCCCTCCCGCTTCCCTTTTCCATTCCCCTTCCCCTACCTTGCAGCTGCGGCGGCGAGTGGCGGGGGTGGTGGAGGGGCGCAGGGCCACTAGGCGCAAGCAGCGTGGGGGAGGTGGGGATGGCTCAGGGGGGCGAGGAGCCGTGGGCTTGGAGGAGGAGGGCAGTGGAGTGGGAGGAGCGCGGTTGAGAGCGATGGGAGGAGAGGGAGTGCGGTTAAGCGACGGTCCGGAGTGGCTGAAGGGGGTGGCAGAGCAGTACGGCATGGCGCTGCCGGCAGCTGTGGGGGCCACCAGGGGTGGAGCAACCACGGCCGCAGCTGCCGATCCAGCAGCAGCGGCGGCAGCAGCGGTGGTGGCGGGGAGGGTGCTGGCGGCGCTGAGGCAGGCGGAGCAGTCCACTCGCGCTGCACCAGCACACCCCGCCACAGCACCCGCCTCCACGCCCCCGCGCGCGGCAGCAGCCCCTGAGAGCAGGGCGCAGGCGCTGCAGGCGGCGCTATCGCCCCTGGAACAGAAGCTGGTGGGTGTGGATGTGGGTGTGGGTGTGGGTGTGCGTATTGCTGATATGCCCCCCGTTGCACCATGCAGCCGCCACCTTGGTGTGCCTCATGCATCATGCCCCTCGTCCCTCGTCCCTCTCATACGGCGTGCCCCTCGCCCGTCTCCTCTGTGTCTATGTGTCTCTATGTGTGTGCGTGGTGCATGATGGCGGTGGAGCGCAGGAGGAGGCGGAGGCGGCTTGGCAGCGGTACGAGGCGGCGGTGCAGTGGACGGAGGGGCGCCTCTCAGCGCTCGCCACGCTCGCCCTCACCACCGCCACCCACCCGCCCTCATCCTCCCTCGCCGCCTCCCGCACCCACCTGCTCTCCTCCCTCGCCTTCGCCCAGAAGCGAGCAGCTGAGGTGCGCACAGGAAGGGTATGGGATGGTGATGATGGCGTAATGAGGATGGCTGGATTGTAATGGCGTGGTGGGTGCAGAGTGAGGGTAATGCATGCATGCAGTGCGTGATGTCATGCATGAGCCTATCATGGCATATGGGGAATACAGAGTGGCATGTGCTGACCCGGTGATGGCTGAAGCTCGTCTCCTCTGCCATTCTGCTGTGCGTGCGTGCAGGAGGAGCAGCGGGTCACCCAGCTGCGCCAGCAGCTCAGCAACAGCCGCACGCTCTCACAACCCTCCTCTTCCTCTTCCGCATCCTCATCCTCCTCACCCCTCTCCACCGCACTGCCTCCTTTCCAATCTACCATAGCGCAACCTGCGCCCCCATCGCTCCTGGCCACACCGTCATCGACACCAGCGCTCCCCTCCTCGTCGCTCGCGCCCCAACTACCGGTGCCGCGCTCGCTGTCGCAGCCGTCACGGGCGCTCTCCCACGCTTCATGGTGCCCCACTGAGGCTGCTCACACCACTCAGCCCTTGGCCCATGACAGCACGAGCCTCGCCAGCACGCATGCTGCCCTGAGCATTCTCCAGCAGGTGCGCTTTGTTGCACTCCCTCACGCATCAGATGCCTCTGTCCATCTCATTGTACCTGCCCATACCTCACAGCACCGTGCTCATGCCATGCTCTCTGCTCATTTCCTCCCTTTCCTTCCCCAGGCGCCAGTGCTGGTGGAGGGAGCAGGGGGGGGCGAGTGGGCGAGGGAGTTTGTGGCGGAGTCGGTGGCCAGGGAGCTCAGCAAGCGCCGCACCGCCCATGGCCATGCCACGTGATGTGGCGAGGGAGGCTATATTACTGGTACTGTTACCCTCAACAGATGCTGTACTATAGTAAACTGCCTTACACAGCAGCATTTGGCTGGGCATAAGTGTGTACAGGACTTGGATGACTCATGAAACGCAAATACATGGCAGAACTTGGTTTGGTACTTCATGTTATGTTATGATCCATAAATAGTGCAGATGTCGGGATATGTGCTGGGAGAGTGTAGCTGATATGTATCGTCTACACCAAAGGCCAGACTCTGTAAGTTAAGCCTTACTGAGCTGTCAAATAGTTTCTGGAGCCCTCATGATTTTGCTAGTTTATAATACAAACAGTCTTATCTTCGAAACATGCATACAAAGGTAGTAAGGATGGCTGAACAAGATTGTATCGATCCCTTTTGTCGGAAAGTGTTGTTTCGAAACAAGTGGGCCTGCCAACACACGGAATGGCTGCTTTGTGGGCCAATGTTGGTGCTCGCGCCTTTGGCGAACGGCGGGTTTGCGTTGCGCACAAATGCTGCTGCGGTCAGGAAGAATCTTCCAATGGAACGCTGGCTTGCTGCCCAATCGGAACCCTTGGAGCCACCAAAGCCGAAATGTTGTGGCGTGGAGCGAAAGTCTTACTTACGTGCTGCCCTGATTGGTGGGGTTGGGGACGAAAATAGTAAATAGAAAGGCAGCACGAGTGTACTCGAAAGGGCAACTGCATGTATCCTGGATGGCGGGTTTTGCCGTCCCTACAATTACTTAGAGAAAATCCCCTCCATTTCCTGCTCGAAACCCCATGCGTGTTGAGTAGCAAATAGATGGAACATGACCTCTGTAGTACGTATTTTGAATTCCAAGGAGCACTTGACTGGATTCAAACAAACTCATTTCAAGATACACAGTGGCGAGAACACCCTCCTGGAAAATAGGGTACGGCGCACCCAAAGCGTCCACCTGGACAATTCCAGCTCAAGCTGTTCTGGGCTGCCTGGTTCAACTTCACGTACGTTTTCACATTCTGCATTTCCATCCAGTCATGGCTCCACCCTCATCATAGCTTCACAGTGGTCCTCGACTGGCATAACAGCATCAGTGTTCTGCGGGAACACTGTGACCCGAGTAGCGACCAGAGTGGCGTCCATGTTCACGACGCCTGTGTGGTTCACAGACGACATCAGCTGGCGCTGCCACCCGCTCCCACTGCACCGCAAGCACGACGCCACCTAGCACGACGATGGTGCCATCCCCTCTCGATCACCATTCCGAACGCATCGTCGCATTTTTTCGCGCAGCGCGATCGGTAGGATAGGCACGAGTAGGTCGTCCAGTCCTTCCGTGCACGCGCCATTTCTGGGAGGCCCGCGCGGCCTCGTGTTTACTGGACTCCGCTCCTCCTCTCCCTCGTTCCTCCAAAGCCCCCCTCGCGTCTGAACCTCGTCGTAGCGTGCGGTGCGAGGCGGCGGGCCTGAGCGGCGCAGCCAGGTGTATGCGCGCGGCGTTAGGCGCGCGAGCCCGCCAGTAGAGCGCGCTCATGGATCCCGCCGCCCCCTCCCCGAGCGGCGACCGCCCAGCGACAGGTGCGGCGGGGGAGGCGGAGAGGCGGCAGCGGCAGCGCGTGAAGCGGGAGGTGTGCGACGAGGTGATCCGCAAGCTGCGCGAGGCGCGTCACCCGAGCGCGCAGTCCAGCGGCTTCGACGCCGACCTCCTCGCGCACTTCGACCGCCTCCCCACCAGGCGAGTCGCGTCGCGTCATTCCCCGTCCTCGATCATGGTCTGACGCGTCGCCGCGTTTTGCCGCACTTCCCATACACGCTATACCGTCGCCCGAATCCCTGCCATGCGACTGGAAGGACTTGTCGCACTGTCGCTTTGCCTGACTCGTGTGTGCTTGCCCGTGTGCGGTTGTCCGTGGCATGGCATGAATGGCATAACATGGCATACCAATGTTACCATGGCGCGGCGCGCTTGGCGGCGGCAGGTACGCGTTGGACGTGAACACGGAGCGCGCGGAGGACGTGCTGACGCACAAGCGGCTGCTGGAGGAGGCGGCGCGGCTGCATGGGCTGCCCGTCTTCTTCGTCCGCGCCGTCCGGGTACGCGCGCGCCTGCTGCCCCCCGCCCGCCTCGCTCCTACTCGCTTCTGCTTTCATCCCTCATTGCGCTCCCCCCGCCTGCTCCAATTCCCGCCTGTCTTAAGCCTGCCTGGCGCAGCGCAATGCGCGCCGGCGCAGGCGCGCCGTTGGGGCGGCCCTGTGCGCCTCCCCATGCGTGCGCGTGTGCGTCCCCCTTGCGTGCTTGGCGCGCGTCCCCGCAGATGGCGGCAGCGGGGGAGGCGGGGCAGCACGCGAGCATGGAGACGGACGACCACCATCCCGCCCTGCCGCCCCACGGGTAACCGCCCCCAGACACCCCTTCGTGCCCTTCCTCCCCCTTCTCTCCTTGCTCCCCTCCGTGCTTGCACCTCCTTCCTTCCCCTTCACGCCAATCCTCCTCGTCCCTGCCTTCAGCGCTTCGCCCTTTCCCTCCCTCCAACCTTCGATTCCGCCCCCCCTCTCTCCCCCTTCCCCTATCCCCCCTCCCTCTCCCCCCTCCCCCTCTCCCCCCTCCTCCCCCCCCCCCCCTCTCTTCCCCCGCGGAGCAGCACCCTAGCGCCGCCAGCGTTTGGGTCGTCGCCGAACCTGGAGGAGCCGGTGGCGGGCGGCGGGCACGGCGGTGCGGGCGCCATGGGCGACCACCGCCACGCCGACCTCAGGTGCTCGCGCTGCCCACACGTGCCGTGGGGCGTGGTGGGGTGGGGCGTGGGGTGTGGGGCGTGGGGCGTGGTGTAGGTGGGGGAGAGGACGGTGAGGCTGTGGCTGGCCTGGCGGGGGGAGAGGCATGTGCTGTGTCGGGGGTCGGGGCGGTGAATGAATGAATGCCACCTGCCTGCCATGCGTCCGTCTGCCTCGCTTCGCCTCCACCTCCACTCTCCCTCCTGCCTCATGCCTCTCCTCTCCCCTCCCCCCCATGCGCCCTGCCCTGCCCCCCCCTCTCCCCCCCATGGCAGTGCGCCGTACTACAACGTGCCCATGCACGAAGTCACCTTCTCCACCTTCGACCGCCCCAAGCTGCTCAGCCAGGTGGGTGACAGGTGCTCAGCCACGTGGGTGCTCAGTGCTCAGCCACGTGGGGGTTCAGTGCTCAGCCACGTGGGGGTTCAATGCTCAGCCAGGAGCGCGATAAGTGCTTAACCTAGAATTCACTGCTCAGCACGGCATTGAATCCCCTTCCTTTCAACCCTCCTCCTCCCCCTTCCTTGTACTCCCCCATACACCCACCCCTCCCCTCCCCCCATCTCCCGTCCTCCCATGCGGGGCAGCTGTCAGCGGTGTTAGCAGACGCGGGGCTGAACATAAGGGAGGCGCATGTGTTCTCCACGTCCGACGGGCTCTCCCTCGACGTCTTCGTCGTCGACGGCTGGCCCACCGAGGTCCGCCCTCGCCACCCCCCCCCCCCTCCTCCCCCTCCCACTCCACTGCCTCTCTCTCTCCATCCTCTCACCCCCACTGCCCCTCCATCCTCTCTCCCCCACTGCCCCTCTCCATCCTCTCACCCCCACTGCCCCTCTCCATCCTCTCACCCCCACTGCACCTCTCCATCCTCTCACCCCTTTGCTGCCTCTCTCCATGCTCTCACCCGCTCTGCGTCTCTCCTGCCCATCCCTGCCATGTGTGTTGGTGTGTGTGTGTTGGTGTGTGTGTGTTGGTGTGTGCGCGCCCGTGTGTGTGTTGGTGTGTGTGTTGGTGTGTGTGTGTTGGTGTGTGTGTGTTGGTGTGTGCGCGCCCGTGTGTGTGTTGGTGTGTGTGTGTGTTGGTGTGTGTGTGTTGGTGTGTGTGTGTTGGTGTGTGTGTGTTGGTGTGTGCGCGCCCGTGTGTGTGTGTTGGTGTGTGTGTGTTGGTGTGTGTGTGTTGGTGTGTGCGCGCCCGTGTGTGTGTGTTGGTGTGTGTGTGTTGGTGTGTGTGTGTTGGTGTGTGCGCGCCCGTGTGTGTGTGTGTGTGGGGGGGGGGGTGGGTGTGCGTGCATGCGCGGCCAGCAGGACGTGGTGGATCTGCATGCAGCCTTGGTGCGAGTGCTGCAGGTCAGCCCCACCCCCCCCTGCTCCACTCCCGCTCTTGCCTCCCCCTGCACCTCACTGCACCTCACTGCACCTCGCTGCACCTCGCTGCACGGATGCCATGTGGATGCACACACTCCATGCTTCACGCGACCCTTACCAGCTGCCATCACACGATGCTCATGCTCTCTCTCTCTCCTCACCCTCACTCACCACTGCACACGCCCCTCCACCTGGCAGATGGGCGCGGGCGCAGCGCTCTCCATGCAGCCAGAGGCGTCCGGCCAGTCAATGCAGTCAATGCAGTCAGGGCCGGGCCCCGCGGGGTCGGAGTCAGCAGGCATGGGGGGGGCGGGGGCAGGGGGGCAGGGGGCGGGGTCTATGGTGTCGGGGGCGGAGTCACGGGTGCCCATCCCCACGGACGGGCGGGACGACTGGGAGATCGACAGCCAGCAGCTCAAGCTGCACCACAAGATCGCCTCCGGCTCCTTTGGTGACCTGTGCGCCGCTCCTCCACCTCCTTGCATCGACTCCGCTGTGCTTACTCAAGCTTTTCACTGCCCTGCTTCATTGCATGCTTCATGCTCACTCTTTGTGCTCGTCATTGCTTGCAACATGGTGTGGCATGGCGTGGCATGGCGTGGCATGGCACCAGGTACCGGGGCACGTACTGCGGGCAAGACGTGGCGATCAAGATCTTAAAGCCCGAGCGGCTTAACGACTCGCTGCAGCAGGAGTTCGCCCAGGAGGTGTACATCATGAGGTGAGGTGTGCATCATGAGGTGAGGTGTACATCATGAGGTGAGGTGTACATCATGAGGTGAGGTGTACATCATGAGGTGAGGTGTACATCATGGTGAGGTGTACATCATGAGGTGAGGTGTACATCATGAGGTGAGGTGTACATCATGAGGTGAGGTGTACATCATGAGGTGAGGTGTACATCATGAGGTGAGGTGTACATCATGAGGTGAGGTGTACATCATGAGGTGAGGTGTACATCATGAGGTGAGGTGTGCATCATGAGGTGAGGTGTACATCATGAGGTGAGGTGTACATCATGAGGTGAGGTGTACATCATGAGGTGAGGTGTACATCATGAGGTGAGGTGTACATCATGAGGTGAGGTGTACATCATGAGGTGAGGTGTACATCATGAGGTGAGGTGTACATCATGAGGTGAGGTGTACATCATGAGGTGAGGTGTACATCATGAGGTGAGGTGTACATCATGAGGTGAGGTGTACATCATGAGGTGAGGTGTACATCATGAGGTGAGGTGTACATCATGAGGTGAGGTGTACATCATGAGGTGAGGTGTACATCATGAGGTGAGGTGTACATCATGAGGTGAGGTGTACATCATGAGGTGAGGTGTACATCATGAGGTGAGGTGTACATCATGAGGTGAGGTGTACATCATGAGGTGAGGTGTACATCATGAGGTGAGGTGTACATCATGAGGTGAGGTGTACATCATGAGGTGAGGTGTACATCATGAGGTGAGGTGTACATCATGAGGTGAGGTGTACATCATGAGGTGAGGTGTACATCATGAGGTGAGGTGTACATCATGAGGTGAGGTGTACATCATGAGGTGAGGTGTACATCATGAGGTGAGGTGTACATCATGAGGTGAGGTGTACATCATGAGGTGAGGTGTACATCATGAGGTGAGGTGTGCATCATGAGGTGAGGTGTGCATCATGAGGTGAGGTGTACATCATGAGGTGAGGTGTACATCATGAGGTGAGGTGTACATCATGAGGTGAGGTGTACATCATGAGGTGAGGTGTACATCATGAGGTGAGGTGTACATCATGAGGTGAGGTGTACATCATGAGGTGAGGTGTACATCATGAGGTGAGGTGTACATCATGAGGTGAGGTGTACATCATGAGGTGAGGTGTACATCATGAGGTGAGGTGTACATCATGAGGTGAGGTGTACATCATGAGGTGAGGTGTACATCATGAGGTGAGGTGTACATCATGAGGTGAGGTGTACATCATGAGGTGAGGTGTACATCATGAGGTGAGGTGTGCATCATGAGGTGAGGTGTACATCATGAGGTGAGGTGTACATCATGAGGTGAGGTGTACATCATGAGGTGAGGTGTACATCATGAGGTGAGGTGTACATCATGAGGTGAGGTGTACATCATGAGGTGAGGTGTACATCATGAGGTGAGGTGTACATCATGAGGTGAGGTGTACATCATGAGGTGAGGTGTACATCATGAGGTGAGGTGTACATCATGAGGTGAGGTGTACATCATGAGGTGAGGTGTACATCATGAGGTGAGGTGTGCATCATGAGGTGAGGTGTGCATCATGAGGTGAGGTGTACATCATGAGGTGAGGTGTACATCATGAGGTGAGGTGTACATCATGAGGTGAGGTGTACATCATGAGGTGAGGTGTACATCATGAGGTGAGGTGTACATCATGAGGTGAGGTGTACATCATGAGGTGAGGTGTGCATCATGAGGTGAGGTGTGCATCATGAGGTGAGGTGTACATCATGAGGTGAGGTGTACATCATGAGGTGAGGTGTACATCATGAGGTGAGGTGTACATCATGAGGTGAGGTGTACATCATGAGGTGAGGTGTACATCATGAGGTGAGGTGTACATCATGAGGTGAGGTGTACATCATGAGGTGAGGTGTACATCATGAGGTGAGGTGTACATCATGAGGTGAGGTGTACATCATGAGGTCATGCTGTGTGATGCCAGTGCGATGTAATTCCATGTGACCGCCTCGTCCCTGTCGTCATGTATGACTGTCTGCCTGACCCGCGTCACTACCATCACTCCCGCCACAATGTTCGCGTGTGTGCACAACCCTCGCCTCAACCCGTGGCCTCAACAGGAAGGTTCGCCATAAGAATGTGGTGCAATTCATTGGAGCCTGCACCAAGCCGCCTAATCTCTCTATAGTCACAGGTACGCACGCCAACTAGTCACAGGATCGGTGTGCCAGAATCAGATGTTTCCTTTGATTTGACGCATGAATAATCAGAGGATTCTGCTAATGTTTCATTGCATCCGTGTCACCAACCTGTGCAGTGCCATGCCATCCTACGATTCCTCTCCCTCCATTCTTGGTCTCTCTGTGTGTGTGTGTGTGTGTGTGTGTGTGTGTGTGTGTGTGTGTGTGTGTGTGTGTGTGTCTATGTTTGTGCGTGCGTGCGTGAGTGTGTGCTTGCGTGCATGCATGCTTGCGTGCGTGCATGTGACCGACAGAGTTCATGGTGGGAGGCAGTGTGTACGACTACATTCACAAGCAGCGCGGCAGCATGCGGCTGCCCATGGTGGTGCGCGTGGCCATGGACGTGGCCAAGGGGATGGACTTTCTGCACAAGAACAACATCATCCACCGCGACCTCAAGGCCGCCAACCTCCTCATGGACGAAAACGAGGTGCGCTGCTCACTCTTGCCACTGCCCCTGCTGCCTGCTCCCATCTGCCGTCCCGCCACTCATTCCCCACCTAAGGCCCATGGCCGTGCCCATGACCCATAGCCTTGCCCATTGCCTTTCCCTCCCACCCCCCACCTCCCTGGCCTGCGCACAGGTGGTGAAGGTGGCGGACTTCGGGGTGGCGCGGGTGAAGGCGGGCAGCGGCATCATGACGGCCGAGACCGGCACGTACCGCTGGATGGCGCCCGAGGTGAGACCGGCACGTACCGCTGGAGACAGGTGGGGATGCTGACGGTTTATGCAAACATAAACACAAGTAGTGCGTGTACACTCAGTACGGAAGATAGATGCGCTTAAGTAACGCATTACTTTTAGTACAGAGAATCATCTTCAGTAATGTACATACAATCTATACAAAACATAAGCTTAAGAAACGTCTCCATCGCTTAATCTTGGTGCACGGTGAATCTTTCTGAAGTGCATGTCCCATGCCCCTTGCACCGTGCACGGCGCACCATGCGTGTGGCAGGTGATAGAGCACCGCGCGTACGACCACAAGGCGGACGTCTTCAGCTTTGGCATCACGCTGTGGGAGCTACTCACCGGCAAGGTGCGCTGCGCTGCGCTGGGGTTGCTGCATGTGGACCACGTGGGTGGGGTCTGGGGGAGATGGGGCAGGTGCAATGGGGAATGGGGTGAGGTGGGCTGCTCGTCTCACCTTGCTTGCTGGCAAGGTGGGGAGGGGTGGGGGGGTGAGGGCGAGATGGGGGTCTTTGGAGGGCGAGATGGGGGTCTTTGGAAGGCAAGCGGCCTTGCAAACAAAGGTCGTCGTGCAGGCACATGTGCATGAATCAGCTCCCAAGTCTCATAATTCCCCTTCTTCCCTCACTCTCCGTGTGTGCACTTGTGCATGTGCCTGTTGTCGTGCATGTGTGCGGGCCACATGCCACAGCTGCCATATGCGGATCTCACACCTCTGCAAGCAGCTGTCAGTGTGGTGCAAAAGGTGAGCAGTGGTGTGAAGCGGTTGTGAGGGGTTGCTGTGAGAATAATTGTGAGAACCGGGTGTGGGAGTGGCTGTGACCTGGTCATAAGGTTGCACACGCTGCACCAACCCACACTCTCTCCACAGCCGCACCAACTCACACTCTGCACTGCTGCTCATGCTCTCGTCCCTGCACCCCCCTGTCCCCCCTCTCCCCCACGGCAGGGGCTGCGGCCGCCCATCCCCAAGGGAACACATCCGCGGGTGGCGGAGCTGATGGTGCGGTGCTGGCACACCAACCCCGCTGAGCGCCCCGAGTTCAGTGCCGTGCTGCGCCTGCTGGCTGACATGGCTCATGAGGTGAGAGGGAGGGGCATTGCCGAGTGTGAGCTCTATTCCTGCAAGGGCCGTTGCAGTGTGACAGGTCTGCTGAAATCCTGAATGGTCAAGCTACGTAGCCCCAGGGCCACATGTAAGATCATCTACTCTGTAGAGACACCTGAAACGTTTTCATGTCTGCGATTACACAAGTGATGGGTTTCCTTTGAAAACATGTGAATCTTGACTAGAAAGAACCAGGCGAAGATCTCCAGCAAAGCATGTGCGATGGTGACTCGACGATGCTGACTCATGCATGATGCATGTGGTGCGTGGGAAGGGAGGGGCATGGCACATGAGGAGGGGCATAGCACATGAGAAGGGGCATCGGGTCATGCTGCATGTGCTCCGTGTGAATCACATGTGCCAACTGATTCATCGTTTGCCTCATCCTCAACTATATCATTTTCCCCGGTGCTTCCCTGGCCACTGTGTGCCCTGTGCCTGTGTGGTGCCCGAGTCGCAGGTGGAGGAGGAGGGCGAGGGCGAGCAGAGGCGCAGGGAGAGGCGAGGAGGCTTCTTCGCCTCGCTCAAGCGCACAGGGGGCAAGTGAGGGGAGCAGGGGGCAAGTGAGGGGAGCAGGGGGCAAGTGAGGGGAGCAGGGGGAACAAGTGAGGGGAGCAGGGGGCAAGTGAGAGGAGCAGGGGGCAAGTGAGGGGAGCAGGGGGCAAGTGAGGGGAGCAGGGGGCAAGTGAGCGGAGCAGGGGGCAAGTGAGCGGAGCAGGGGGCAAGTGAGAGGAGCAGGGGGAAAGTGAGGGGGGGGATGGTGGAGGGGTTGTGAGCAGTGGGGTGTTTGGGCTTGGCTTGACGTGCCTTCTCGCATGCATGTGTGCATGATGTGCCGTGCGCCTGCTGCATTTTCCGCAGCAGCGCTACGAATCGGCACCACTAGGGGGAGTGCAGAGGCAGAGGCAGAGGCAAAGGGCGGGGGGCAGGGGGCAGGGGGCAGGGAGCATGGGGCATGGGTCAGGGGGGCAGGGGGCAGGGGGCAGAGGCAGTCCTGCCATCCTCCAGTGGCACTGGACAGAGACGGAGACACATTGTTTTGGGAGCACAGCAGCTCAAGGAGAATGATTGTTGGGTCAATATTGAATTATTGTCCATAACAAGACTGGAGGGGTGAAGGAAGAGGAGGGAGGGTAGGGGTTGTGGGAGGGGGAGGGTGAGCGTGAAGCATCAAGTGGTATGGTGGTGGTGGTGGTGGTGGTGGTGGTGGTGGTGGTGGTGGTGGTGGTGGTGGTGATAGTACCTGCAAATTTTGACAGTCCATTGTGACAGGGTCCCATCTCATGCTGGTGGATGTGCCATCACATGGAGGGTGAATGCCATGTGTGAGGGTTCCCCGCTGCTCAACAGTTCCCTCACTCTTAAGGTGGAGAGGTCCCAACCTTGCACTACCCCCATGGCAAATGGTTCGTGCCAGAAACATTGCCATATGGCATCCAATTTTGCAGTTTAGTGATCAAACGTGTACATCAAATGTTTATCTGATATTTTGTTTTTGTGCTTTATGTGACGTGATGCCACGACAAAGTAATCATTTTCACAGTGCCCACTATCATTTACCGTATATTTCTTTTACGTATATTTTTGTTGGGCAACCTTCGTATACTGTACATTGTCCTAATGCGATGTACATTTCACTGTCGATGTAGCTCTTATGCTTTGCATGACGTGGACTACGGCAAAAAACTTCACAACTACGGTAACAGCCATATAGGATTTGAGATACGGTACATACATTGATAAATCAATGTGCCCCCCAAAAAATCTCACTCAATACCAGAGGCAAGACCATGTCCCACTCAATATCAATGTGCTTCGCTCTAACCTCCAGAGTATAATGGCCATGATATCGCGAACAAGACCAGGGCAAAGCTAAGCGGCTGGTTTACTTAAAGCCGAAATGCAAAATAGTGAACCCGTCTCCAGCTTGAAAGAGAGCTTGTCGAGCGAAACAATTTTCAAAACCAAACCGACAAGTTTGCACTGTTTCATTGAGAGCGTTTGAACAGATCGAACAAATCTGATTGGTTCCCGCCAAAACTGAAAAAAGGAACACAGCACGTCAGGCGTCGCATCTCTGTTTGGGGAGCCGCAGAGCAGAAGCACTGCGATCGTTTTGTCACGTCCCTGCGATTTTTTGCCCAGCTTCGCGTTCAAGTTGGGCATGGGTGAAGTACTACTACGTCTTCCATTCAGTTTTCCGTGCTTCTTAGTTTTTAGTTGCTTGTCTAGCCATATGGCCCCAACTTAGGCTGTTGTCACCGCAACTTAGGCGCGTAGTGATTATGTGTCATGATTGCGCAGTAATTGTGCCGTTTAGATTACCCTCTCGCCGCCTTCCTATCCCGCCTCACTCGTCCTCCCGACTCACTCGTCCTCGCGCCGTCCGTCCCGACGCCGTCCCGTCGCCCGAATTGTCGCCTCCATCGACGTCGCCCTCGCTATCTTCCGTCGCGGCCCTCCCCTCAGTTCGCGTCGCCACGCTATCTCTCCCCTCCCCTCCCATCGCCTTTCCTCTCCCGTCGCCTTTCCTCTCCCGTTGCCCTTCCACCGTCGCTTTCCTCTCCCTTCGCCTTTCCTCTCCCGTTGCCCTTCCTCTCCCGTCGCTTTCCTCTCCTGCCGCCCTTCCTTCTCTCCCGCCGCCCTTCCTTCTCTCCCGTTGCCCTTCCTCTCCCGTCGCTTTCCTCTCCCGCCGCCCTTCTTTCTCTCCCGCCGCCCTTCCTTCTCTTCCGTCGCCCTTCTCTCCCGTTGCCCTTCCTCTCTCCCGTCGCCCTTTCTTTCTCCCGTCTCCTATCCTCTCTCCCGTCACCCGTCTTCTCTCCCGTCGCCCCTCCCCTCCCGTCTTCCTCTCTTCCGTCGCCCTTCATCTCTCCCGTCCCATCATCCACCTCGGCGTCTTCGCGCTCGCCCCGAAATGCCTGCCCGTCGCCCCGTGATCGTCGGCCCCTCTCGCTTTTCCCTCGCAGCGTTACTCTCCCAGTCACATATGCCCTCGCTTTTTTCGTCGCTCCTCGCGGCACCCTCGTCACCGCCTTCCCATCACCCTCGTTGCTCTCTCTCTCCCCCCATCACCCTTTTTCTCTCGGTTCGTATCACCCCTCTTATCACCCTCACACTCTTCCCTCACATCGTCCGTCACCATCGCGTCACCCTTTCTCTCTCCCCTCACATCACCCTCCTTGTCGCCGTCGCCCTCGCCTCAAATCGCCCTTCCTCTCTCCCTTCGCATCACCCACGTTGTAGCCCTGTCGCCCCCCAAATCGTCCCGTCTCCCTCTCGTTCTCCCTCTCGTTCTTCCCGTCGCCCTAGATGCAGCCGTCGCAATTTCCTCTCCCACCCACCATCACCCACCTCATCGCCTTCCCGCTCGCCACAAAACGCCTTCCCGTCCCCCACCCACTTTCTCCTCCCATCGCCTGCCTCGTAGCCTTCGCGCTCGCACTCAACCCCCTCCCGTCGCCCTTCCTCTCTCCCTTCCCATCACCGACCTCGTCGCCCTCGTGCTCGCCCCGAAATGCCTTCCCATCGCCTTTCGTCTCTTCTCCCCAATCATTAGTCTCTGAAACACTCTCCAGATCGCCCATTGTATCCACCCGGTTCATCACCGACCTCGTCGCCTTCACTCTTGCTATGTAATGCCCTCTCTGCGCCCTTCCTCCCTCCCCTCACAATCTGTCTTTCCTCCCCGCCTCCCGTTCCTCTCTCCCCTTCCATCCTGTCGTTCCTCTCTACCCTCCCATCCCGTCGTTCCTCCTCTCTACCCTCCCATCCCGTCTTTTCTCTCTCCCCTCCCATCCCGTTGTTCCTCCTCTCTTCCCTCCTATCCCGTCGTTCTTCCTCCCTCCCCTCCCATCCTGTCGTTCCCCCTCTCTCCCCTTCTCTCCCGTCGGCCCCCTTGTCCCCAGTCCCTTCTCTTCGGCGTCGACCAATCAACCGTCTCGACACCCTTCCTCTTTTCGTACATCATTCATTTCTTTATTTCTATCTTCTTCGCCTGATTTCACCTGTGTGTGCCATGGATTTTGCTTGATCATGCCAGTGTTTGCGCAGAATTTTGCTAGTTTTTGCATGTGTGCGCACTGGATTTTGCATGTGTGTGCGCTGTTTTTTGCACATAGGAATTCTTGTGAAGTTACAACGGCTGCTCTGTTGAATGTGGGATTGCAGCCTTGCGCCAAATTCGTACAGGAATTTGGGTGAAAGTCGCCACCAATCAGATTTGTAAACAAGTACACAGATCAAGACTCGTATGGGATGAAAAAAAGTAAAAACGCACAGGCCGTCAACTTTTCAAACGTTCGTAACAAACTTGTGGTTTCAAGTGGACCCAACTAGAAGGGGGGGGTCACTATTTTAGCTGCTGGCTTTAAGTCTGTAAGCACTAACGTCAGCCAGCGGAGCTTAGCACAATACCCATGAGTGCAACTGACTGTCGTCCACCGAGAACAATCCCCATGCTTGGTGTACTAGCCCGTTAGCACAATACCCTCCTAGCAGCCGAATAGTGCTTAGGTCGGTGTCTCCCAGATACAACAAGGCGAGCAAGGATTGTGAGAGGATATGCTAGATATGGGCGAGCGCAGGTCATCGGGTACATAAGGCACCCCGCCAGCTTTGAGTTTTGACCACTCGGCTCAACTGGCTTGTCGAAGATAGGGGCCGCGAGCTTATGGTCAACAGGCAGAGGAGTTGGTTGTGCAGACAAGAACTGAAGGTCGAAGCGATGGAGGATCTGCTACACCATGTATGATTGATTCGGAGTGATGGTGTGCGTTGCTCTGTCTCTAGTGACCTATACACCAAAATAACAACACAGCTCATGTAGGTTAGTACAAATGTGTCTCCTTGTCAAACATATATGCTGCTTATTGTGTAGGCTGTAGTGGGGTAGCTCATAAGGGGTACAACCCAAATTAGGGTTTGCTACTTGTACCCATCCTGCTGCTAGTTCATTCATTCCTCTTCGTTATTCTGACATGGTTTCAGAGCAGGTCCTAGCCTAGGACGGATCTCTTAGGGCCCACCGAGTAGCGCTACCCCACCGACGCGCTAGTGTGATCACGTCGTAGAACTGCCCTGCCCTGCCCTGCGCCGCCCGCAGCAGCGCACACTGCTTTGCTAGCGCGCCCTGCTGAGTCGCGCGCCACCTGCTGCAGCGCGCCCTGCCCTGCCCGCGCGTCGCGCTGCCGCGCACGCCCTGCCTGAGCGCCGAGCTGCCGCGCGCCCTGCCCTGCCCGTGCGCTGCCCGCGTCGCGCGCCTTGCCCTGCCCGCGCACCGCACCGCCGAGCGCCCTGCCCTGCCCGCGAGCCGCGCCGCCGCGCGCTCTGCCCTGCGTGCGCGCCGCACCGCCACGCGCTCTGCCCTGCCCGCGCGCCGCGCCGCCGCGCGCCCTGTCCTGCCCGCGCGCCGCGCCGCCGTGCGCCCTGCCCTGCCCGCGCGTGGCGCCGCCGCGCGCCCTGCTCTGCCCGCGCGCCCTACCTGAGCGCCGTGCCCTGCCCTGCCGCGCGCCTTGCCCTGCCGCGCGCCCTGCCCTGCCGCGCGCCCTGCCCTGCCGCGCGCCCTGCCCTGCCGCGCGCCCTGCCCTGCCGAGCGCACCCTGCCCTACCGTGCGTCGCTCACTGCTGCACTGCTTCTAGCGCGCTCCCTGCTGCACTGCTGCTAGCGTGCTGCTCTGCTGCTAGCGCGCCCGACTGCTCTGCCTGCTATGGCCACTCTCAACGTTCTCACCTTCGATTCGGAGGGCCGCCCGATAGAGTTCAATGTATGGCTAGACGATTTACAGCTGTTCCTGCTGACAGACTCTAAGGACGGTACTTCGCTGTTTGACCTCACTTCTGGCGCCTCGCCCGCCCCTGACGCCACAGCTGACAGTGCGACCCGCTCACAGTGGCTTACCCGTGACGCTGCTGCTTGCCTAGCCGTTCGCAACCACCTGCCGTTAGCCGAACGCGCCCACTTTGGCCAGCATAAGACAGCAAAAGCACTGTACGACGCTGTAGACGCTCGTTACTCCTCCCTGGCCACTGCTGCTCTAGGCCGCCTTCTCCTGCCCTACCTGTTCCCAGAGCTGTCCGCCTTTGCCACAGTAGCCGACCTAGTCACTCACCTCCGCACTAGTGACACTCGCTACCGTGTTGCGCTCCCCGCCGAGTTTCTCACCAAGACCCCCCCCCCCCATGTACATCACGCTCTACTTCATAGTCACCCGCCTCCCAGACTCTCTTACTGCAGACAGGGACCTCCTCCTAGCACTTGACCCCACCGACCTCACGGTCGACCTGCTCGAGAAGCACCTCCTAGCAGCTGAGACTAGCATAGTCGCTGTAGGCGCTTCTCGTGGCACTCCTCGCACCCCCTTCTTTGAGGGGTGTTCGCCCTCCCCCCCTTCTCCCCTCAGTCGCCTCTGCTGCAGATGTTGACTACCTTCGTGCTGAGGAGGTAGGAGCTGCGTCTGCCCCTAGTGGGAGGCGCCGCAGCGGCAGGGGCAGGGGAGGCAGGAGCGGTAGGGGTGGCAAAGGTGGAGGCGGTGATGGGGGCGGTGGAGGAGGTGGAGGGGGCGGCAGTGGAGGAGGTAGTGGTGGTGGGGGTGGAGGGGCAGGTGGCGGCGGCAGTGGGAGTGGTGGAGGCGGCGGTGGTGGCGGCACCGGGGGTGGAGGCGGCGGCAGTGGTGGCGGCCGGGGTGGTACCAGCCAGAGGGGAGGCCTTGGAGGTGGCCAGAGGCAGCAGCAGCGTCAGCCCCTTTCGTCTCAGGAGCTCCGTGAGTGGTTTGCTCAGCGTGGGGCGGCTGGGGGTAGTGGTCCCTGCCCGTATGTCATTCGCACAGGTGACCGCACTGGTCAGACATGCGGGAGGTCTCACACTCAGCACCGCTGCTTCTACCGCCTTACCGACGCCTTTCGCAAAGAGTTTCCTGATGCACCCGAGCTCCCCAACTGGGCGGAGCTGCTTAAGCAGAATGTTGATATCTTTGCTCTAGACTTTGATGCTATCCTCTCTGCCATGTATGCATTGAATGTTAGTGCTGAGGGTGACTGTTACCTGTGTATGCCGCCAGACCCAGGTATAGAGGCTGCTGCTGTAGGTGCTAGTGAGTCTGCTGCACTAGGTGCTGGTGAGTCTGCTCTCTCTGGTACTGCGTCTGCTGCGGCCCTGCACACCTTCACGCTTGATTCAGGTGCTTCCCGCTGTTTCTTTCACGACAGTACCACAGTCACACCGCTCTCTGCACCTGTTGCTGTCTCTTTGGCTGACCCCTCTGGGGCCCCAGTCCTTGCACATTCCTCCACTGTTCTGCCCTGTCCGGCGGTTCCGTCTGGGTCACTGTCAGGTCTCCACCTCCCCTCGTTCTCTACGAACTTGGTGAGCACTGCTGTCCTCCAGGATGCGGGGGTTGACACCTTCACCCCTGGACAGCAGCATGTGGCGATCTGTACGTGCTCCCGGACCGGTCGCCACCTGGCCACGTTCACCCGTCAGCCTGGGTCGAGTCTGTACACACTGACTACTGCACCTCCTCAGCTAGCTGCGTCTGCGTCTGCGTCAGGTCAGCTTGCTGCCCCCTGCTCGTGTCGTGCCCTGTCGCACCAGACTCTCCTTTGGCACCACCGTCTTGGTCACCCCTCTGTGGCACGCCTCCGTGGCATGCACTCCCGTCTCCTTGTCTCTGGTCTTCCCAGGACTCTGCCTCCCCTCCCACCCTCGCCTGCCCCTCCCTGCCTTCCCTGTGTCGAGGGGCGGCAGCGCGCCGCTCCTCACTCCTCCTCGTTCCCCCCGACAGAGGCTCCCCTGCAGACTCTCCACCTGGACGTGTGGGGCCCAGCCCGCGTCCGTGGACAGGGCCACGAGCGGTACTTTCTGCTGGTTGTCGACGACTACTCGCGTTACACCACGGTCTTCCCCTTGCGCCGCAAGGGGGAGGTCCCTGATGTTCTGATCCCTTGGATACGCGCTGTTCGTCTCAAGCTCCGCGAGCGGTTCGAGACGGACCTTCCAGTCCTGCATCTGCACTCTTGCGTTGTCCAGACAGAGGTGGTGAGTTTTCCTCCGACCTCTTGCGGGCCTTCTGTCGTGCGGAGGGCATTCGCCAGACGTTCACGCTTCCGGCCTCTCCGCAGCAAAATGGGGTTGCTGAGCGCCGCATTGGCTTAGTCATAGAGGTCGCTCGTACCTCCATGATCCATGCGGCTGCCCCCCATTTTCTGTGGCCGTTTGCAGTCCAGTACGCTGCGCATCAGCTCAACCTCTGGCCCCGTGTCTCCTTGTCGGAGACCTCGCCCACACTGTGTTGGACGGGGGAGGTTGGCGATGCGTCGGTGTTCCGGGTCTGGGGATGTCGAGCCTTTGTCTGCGATACGACCGCGGACAAGCTCTCCTCCCTCGCCGTTCCCTGTGTCTTCCTTGGCTTTGTCCCTGACGCACCTGGCTGGCAGTTTTACCACCCCAACTCACGCCGTGTCCAGCCCTCTCAGGACGTCACGTTTGACGAGTCGGTTCCCTTTTACCGTCTCTTCCCCTACCGCACTGCCCCTCCCCCTCCCCCGCCGCTCTTCCTCGCACCAAGTCCTCCTCCGGTTGACCCCCTTCCCCCTCAGGGTCCTGCTTCCTCAGGTGTGTCCCAGGTAGACCCTGTCGAGCCTGTCGAAGTCGCTGTCGACTCTGGTGCTGCTAGAGGTGTTGCGTCTGGGGGTGCTGAGCCTGCGGGTGCGGGGCCTGGGGGTGCTGAGCTTGAGCGTGCGGAGCATGGGGGTGCGGAGCTTGGGGTTGCTGAGTCTGAGGGTGCGGAGCCTGGGGATGCTGAGCAATGTGCCTTGTGTCGCGAGCAGAGACTGGAGCACCGAACGAAGCACTTTGCTCTCCGCTACTTCCTTGCGCGCGAGCTGCAGCAGCGTGGTCAGCTGCGCCTTGCTCTCGTGGCCTCTCGGGCCAACACTGCTGATGTTTTCACCAAGGCCCTTGGGTCTGGTGATCATCACCGTTTCTGCACTGCTCTTGGGCTTGTGCCCACTCTGCCTCACCTGCTGGTTGTTTGACTTGCTCTTGTTGTACACTGATATATATCTTTATACCTGCTTGTTTACTCTTGCTAGGTTGTGATCAGTGTACTGCCTTGCTGTTATAACTCTGCATGTGAACTGGCCTTGTGGCCACTTGCTTGTGCTCAGATTGTGTGGTGTCCTTGAGATCCACCCTGAGCTTTGCTTGTTCTCTTGCTTGACTGGTCTTGTGACAGTCTGTTGTGTTTGCTATCTCCCACTTAGCCTATAGGGGTGTGTCAAACTGTATGTTTGTGTTCTTTCTAGGCTATAGTGAGTTAGCCTACAAGGGGTACAACACTTCAGGGTTAGGTACTTGTACTCATGCATGCTACCTAGTCCACCATTCCTGCCTGCTTATTCTAACAGAAACTTGAAACCATTGATCTTAGATGTCCAGGAAGCGGAAGAACCAAAGTCCGCCAATGTGACACTAAAATTATATCTACGTGTTCCTTGTTGACAGGCGATCAAAATGGTTAATGGATCACTGCTTGTAACGAGGTGGAACATGGACATTGCAAATCTCGAAGTTGCAGAAATCCATGGCGGCCTTGGTATTGTCATTGTCATTGAGCTTCCTCTGAAGGAGAGTCATTGTTATCTACAATGGAATGTACACATTTGGTAAGCTATAAAGCATAGCTCAAATAATGAAAACCAGTTTGGCATATCATCTGGTTGCGCTAGAAACAGCCCCTTCCAGCGGGGAGGAGTAGAGGCGGCTTCTGTTTCAACTATGCAAAAACGACGCGATCTTGAATACTGTGCGGGACGACCAGCGCACAGTGCGTACCACACTCATGTGAAGTTTGTTTCCTTCCGCACCCCAGCTGTCAATGTCGCTGTCTTCACGCGAAACGAACTTGAAGTGCGATTGGTGCTCGTCACCCCCCACTTCCGCTTCAGCCAATTCCGTCCACCCTGATCGCCACGTGCAGCAACAGACTGAGCCAAATGGATGGACAACGAAATGCCGCGGAGGCGGGCGTGCAGCGTGCGCGAGTGGTGGCAGTGAGTGTGAAAAGGGGGCGGGAGGGGGGAAGGAGGAAAGGAAAAGGGAGGGTGGGGAGGGGAGGAGAGAGGGGAGGGGAGGGGGAGAGGAGCATAACAGTAGTGTGGACACGGAATCTTTGATATTTCTGAATGGGAGAGTCAAATTTCGATAGCTCGTGGTCCATTTGGTCCGAACACATTTCAGGGGTACGAAGACCATGCATGCGGATGTTTTGAGGCAAATACCAGAAGCCTTTGGGGGAAAGGTGACAGGAACACTGACTTTTCATCAGCGACTTCTCAACAATCATTAATTTAAAAGCGTAAAAGCACCTCGGGAAGACAGAAAAATGCTTCCAGCGAATACTTCTCAGAAATGCCCTGAAGGAACCGTTCCGTGTGCTGTGGGAGTTTTAGTGTACCCGCTATTGCGGATGAAGGCATGTACAAAGTGCTGCAAAAAACTCGACGTCGAGGAACGTCGGTGAATCCTGACGGTTGGAACTTTGATCCGAGGGTGGAAATTCACCGACGTTCCTCGACGTCGAGTTTTTGCAGCACTTTGAACACGCCTTCATCCGCTGATGCACTGAAGAATGAATCATTGGCATAGCCCTCCTCCTGGGCTTGAGTTGGGCTGTGCAGGGCAAAGTTCTCTTCCCTTCCCACCCACCTACACACCGACACCATCCTCGCAAAGCCGGCAAGCCAGGCTTCCTAGAAGGAGTTTGGGAAGGGACCATTTTGTTGGTTTCATCCAGATCCGCCACTGCTCCGAGGTTGCCCAGTCAAGGTTTCAAGTCTTTCCGAGCACCTAACAACCACTGCAGGTGAACAGATGGATGGGTTCAGTCAGCAGCTCAAAATCATGGGAGTCGAGGCGAGTAGCAAGCGGCTCACTGAAGATTGCTACTTGCACGTCGCTGGTACGACGCAATCTAGAACACACGGATGCGCAGTACACCAACTCGCTAGGTGTGAATGCTTCCCTAGCGTCCACATATCTTGCATACTCCTTATTCGAAAATCCTGCTCTCGATCTCGCTTCCTTCCTCCCCGCTCCCCGCTCGCTCCTCGCGAACGAGCTCCGCCGCCGTTTGTAGGCTGTGTCACGGTCCCTCCCTCACGCTCCTATTCCTCGCGCATTCCTATGAGCTCTTCTGAACATATCCTGGAATAAGCCTGCACGCGAAGGTGAGAACGCTTGAAGTGGGCGCACACAAGGAAGGGGAATCATTGACATGTGGCAAGAAAATGACAGATATGACAAACCGTGTGAGATCGCACTACTCGTCAGAAGGGAGTAGCGGAGGACTTAGTGAATCAAGCTGTTGGGACCAAGAGAAACGCACAGGATGGACGGAAGGAGAGAAGGGAGGGTGCAGGTGAAGGTAGCGGAAAGAAAGCGAGGGCAGGCGAGGGGTTTGTCGTGATAAACGAACGCGGAAAGAGTATTAGGAGTACTTTCTGAAAGAGGAAACGAGAACCCTATTCATGCCTCCGTTGCTGCGTGTTTCTAGAAGTATCAGCTGCTCTCGCCTTTTCCTTCTCCATCCTCGGCTCAACCTCCTCCCTGCCAGCGTGCTGCTGGCGAGTGCCGCCGCAGATCGCCGCGGTGGGTGGTAAAAGGGAGAGCGAGGGGCGCACTCAATCACGTACTACACCTTACCCCTTCCCCGGCTTCGACCAAAATATTGCTCCTCACTCGCTCCCGCTTCTGTCAGGGCTATAAATGGATTGTACACAAATCTAAGGTTACCACTTCACCTACAGTTCTGTATGAGAGCCAAGGGTAGCTTTTTTGCTGTCAAGACGAACAGTGTTTTGACCGTGGCCATAAAACATCACCATTGCTCTTGTGGGATGTGTCTGGCGTGTTGTGGGATGGGCGGTTCAATGTGCATCAGGTGTACCCGTCCCTCGCATGCCGTGTTGTCTTTTGTCGCAGCCATCGTCCTCCCACATCAGCACCATGGATGCATCATCTGGTGCGGCATCAGCAGCAGCCGGCATCGCCTCCTTCCCACCGCAAGAGGCTGCAGCCATGCAGCCCAGCGCCATGCAGCCCAGCGCCATGCAGCCCGGCGCCATGCAGCCCGGCGCCATGCAGCCCGGCGCCATGCCTCCCGCCTACCACTTCCTCTACTCGCAGCTAGCCGCTGCCGCTGCCGCCCAGCAAGGCGGCGCAGCCCCATCAGCAGCTCCATCGGCCACAGCCGCCACGCCCAGCGCCTGCCACGTGTCGGCCTCGCACGCCGTGCACGCGCCTCACTTCCCCTCCAACGCGCTCGCCACCGACGGCCTCCCGCGCTTCGACTTCACCCCGCCGCCCAACGTGCCTTCGGCCCCAGCGCCCCAGCCCACAGCCCCGCGCCCACAGGGGACTGCTGCCTTCCATGCCTCCTCCTCGCAGCACGCAGCACGCCAGGCGCCCGACGGCGGCAGCGAGCGGAGCGGCAGCACGGGTGCAGGCCACGAGCCTGCGCTGGCGCGGCGCACCACCACCAGCCTGTCCCTGGCCGCCGGCTTGGACCTGCCCTCGCCTGCCGGAGGAGTAGCACCTGGGCCCAGCGGCGAGTGGCGGCAGGCGGAGATGGCTCAGGGGGAGGCATTTGTTGGCGTGCAAGGCAATGCAAACTCCGCTTACCTCACAGGCAGGTTGGGAAGGAGAGGATAGGGAACCGAGCAACACGTTTCAGATGGCACGTTGCCCTTTGGGCGTTTGCTCCAACAGTGTAGCTGCAAGCGTCCCCCTTTTCTGCTGTCTCTTCTTTTTTCTGAGAGCCCCGCTCCTCCTTCCCCCTGCCTCCTCGTGCGTCCATGACCCCAGATCTGCTGCAGCAGGCGCAGGCGCAGCTGGCGGACCTGGACCAATCGGCGGGCGCCAACCTGCGCCTGCTGGGCCTCACACTGCCCTCCGCGCATTCCTCCCTTCCGGACCAACACCCCCTCGCAACACCGCCCCCCTCTGCTCCTTTCCACGCCCAAGCTTCAGCCCAGCAACAGCAGCAGCAGGCGTCGCCCCAGTCGCCCCAGCTGCCGCTGCAGGTGTTGATGCAGCTGCACGGTCTCATGCACGGCCCTGCCGCCTCCGCCCACCCCACCGCCGGCCCACTGTCTGCCCAGCAGCAGTCCCCAGCGCAGGTGGCGCAGGCGCTGGCTCTGGCGCTGGGGGGAGGCGGAGAGGGGGGGCTCCAGGCGCAGGGCGGCATGCATGGGGGACTGGATCTGGGCGCGGGCATGATGGGGGGAAGCAGCTCTGCGCCTGGCACTGGCGCTGGGGCTGGGGGGGGCAATGGAGGCCCGATGGGGGCGGGCATGGTTGGCATGGACGGTCGGGTGGGCAGCAGTGCAGGGGGGGGAGTCAGCAGCCACATGCGCCAGGGGCTGCTGGGGGGCGCAGCAAGCAGTGGCGGGGCAGTGGGGGGGGCACGGGGGATGGGAGGGTTTGGGGGAATGGGTGACGGGGTGGGGAGTGGCGGGTGTGGGCAGGGCGAGGCGCAGCTGTTCCCCCAGCAGTGGATGGCGGGTGGGGGCGTGCACACACCCATGGCAGCGGTGCAGGCAGGGGCCGCGCGCAGCAACGGTGGCGTGGTGAGTTACTCACCCCACACCACACATACACACCACACATACACACCACACATACACACCACACATACACACCACACATACACACCTCACATACACCCCTCCCTCCTCACCCCCCTCCACACACCCCGCACATACACCCCGTTCATACACCTTGTCCTTCTGCTCCTGCACCCTCCCCCCTCCCTCCCCCGTTCTCTCCCTCCCACCCCCCCGTTCCTTCATCTCCACTTCTTCCTCCTTCCTCCGCTTTTTCCTTCTTCCTCTACTTTTCCTTCTTCCTCTGCTTTTCCTTCTTCCTCTACTTTTCCTTCTTCCTCTGCTTTTCCTTCTTCCTCTGCTTTTCCTTCTTCCCCTTGCATTTCCCTCGTCCTCTGTTTGTCCTCTGTCCTCCGCTTTTCCTTGTTCCTCCAATTCTCCTTCTTCCTCTGCCTTGCGCTCTTCCTCTGCTTTTCCTTTTTCCTCCCATCCGCCCCTGTGTTTCCCCCCTCCGCTCTCAGTCCCCGTCATCCGCCCTCTCACCCCAGTCCGCCCCACCGCCCTCTGCGCCCCTCCTCTCGCCGCACGCACCTCTGCTGAGCCCAAGGAGCGCGCAGCATCGGTCGCTGGGGGCGCCTGGCGCAGCAGGCGCAGGGGGGGAGGCGGGTGGGGGGGTGCTGGGCAGGAGGGAAGCGGGCATGGGGGGGGCGGGTGTGGGCGGGGGGGCGGGGGGGAAGTGGCGCATGGTGGAGGCGGCGGATGGCGTGCTCTGCAAGGTGCGCGCCAAGCGCGGCCAGGCCACCCACCCCCGCTCCATCGCTGAACGGGTGAGCGTGGGGAGGGGGGAGGGGGAGGGTGGGGGGCGGGCAGGGGTGGGGCAGGGATGCATGAGGACGTGGGTGGGGCGGGGGTTGCTGGTGGGGGGTGCTGATGGGGAGGCGTGGAATGAGGGAAAGTTGCATTTGCATCTCCGACCTTGCCCTGCCCTGGGGCTCCAGCACTCCAACTGCTCCGCTATTTGCACATTGCGAACTGATCTGCACCGCGTTGCACCCATGGCAGGTGCGGCGATCGCGCATCAGCGACAAGATGAAGCTCCTGGCCGACCTCATTCCCGGCATGGACCGCCAGGTGCGTGCAGGGGGGGCATGGACCGCCAGGTGCGTGGGGGCATGGGCAGGCAGGTGCGTGGGGGCATGGGCAGGCAGGTGCGTGGGGGCATGGACAGGCAGGTGCGTGGGGGCATGGGCAGGCAGGTGAAGAGTGGGGCAAGGAGGAGGTGGAGTGGTAAGGGCGAGCTGCAGCAGCAGCAGGTGAGGAGTGGTGTGGAGTGCGGAAGAGAAACAGTCGCAAGTGGTGTACATTGTGTGAGGGGACGGCAAGCATTGCAGCTGTGGCACTGGGGGCGACCCTGGCTCATTCCCACTGTGACTCCATGCTGCCCCCTATGCCCCTGTGCGGTCCTCTGTGCCCCTCTTTTCCATGTGTTGGTTTTCGGAGCTTCTCCCCCTACTACAGCATGCCAATGCATCTCCCTCTCCCTTTTGTGCTGCGTCTGTGTATGGAATGAGTATGTGTATGGTATGGGTGTGTGCATGGAATGAGTTTGTGCGTGGAATGAGTGTGTGCATGTGTGCCTGCAAGGTTGCACGTGTGCATGTGTGCTTGCCTGCTCGTGTGTGTGCATAGCATATGTGTGTGCATTTGTGTGTGCACGTGTGCATGCATGCATGCACCAGGTGAATGCGGCGGACATGTTGGAGGATGCCATTGAGTATGTGCGCCACCTGCAGCGGCAGATCGAGGTAAGGCACGCAGGCACGTGCAGCAAAGGGTGGAGGTAGGGCAGGCACGTGCAGCAAGGGGTGGAGGTAGGGCAGGCACGTGCAGCAAGGGGTGGAGGTAGGGCAGGCACGTGCAGCAAGGGGTGGAGGTAGGGCAGGCACGTGCAGCAAGGGGTGGAGGTGGGCAGGCACGTGCAGCCATATGCTTGAGCACGCACGTCAAGCACTCGTGCACTCCCCCCCGATCCAACTAACCTCGCCTCCCCCCCCCCCCTGTCCACCCGCCCTCCACGGTGGCCTCAGGTGGTGCAGTCGCAGCACCCCGACGTGCACATCCAGCCCTTTGTGAGCCGCCTGGACAGCCAGCAGGGCGCGGGCCGGGTGGACGAGGCCGGGGCAGAGGCCACGGACTGGGATCCAGGGGCGCGAGGGGATGGGGAGGGTGAAGAGGAGGAGAGGGGAATTGTGAGGAACGGGGACGGTCCATCTGCAAGAGGGGGAGCAGGGGTTGAGGGTCGAATGGATGATGGTGGATTGGAGGCTGTTAAGGATGAGCATACGGGTCAAGACGCAAGGGACAGTAGAGAGAGATTAAGTGGGAGGGACAATGGTTTGGCCCTTTGTACAGATGCAAGTGACAATATCCACGCTGTGCCGCGCGATAGACTAACCCTCTCCTTTTCACAGTTGTAGCTCTTTGATGGGCATTGGCTGGTTTGTCTTTGTCTAAGAGGCAATGTTCGCTCTCATTGCAAGTGGTTAATACACCCACCATCAGCACCCGAATACTAGGGCGTTAAGCCCAAGGCCCAAATTACGACGGCCACACTAGTCGATAGGATACTTCAATAAGGAGCAGCACATAAGCGCCTCTTCACTACTGTGAGCCGCCACCTCGAGGCGCATGTTCTGGAGTCGGTACGTGCACGCCATAGCGATGTGTTACATCTTGCCCGTTTGACATCCCGTCAAGGTCCATGTGCAGGACGGGGCTTACGACGGTTCCGTCCGCTTACTCTCTACGCATTTCCGAGCGCAATAGCAGATGGCCTGGAGTTTTCGCTTTCGTCTCCCTGTTCTCCAGCTAGCCCTTGCAAGTCAGTGTTCTTGCGGATTGGCGATCGACGACATGACAGTCCCACATCACGTTGTTCGGTGCCTACGGTTTGCAGTCGCCACGACGATCCACGACACTGTCAACTTCACGCTCATGAATATTGCGCACGATGCGGGGTTTGTTGTGACAGTGGAGGACACGACGCTGATCCCTCATCTGGGAGGAGGCACGCACGTGTTTGATTTCGTTGTTTGAGTTGGGGTGGGGGGGGTGGGAGAGGGGGGGGAGAAGGGGGGGGGCCGCGTGTGGGGGGATCAGGGGGGCTCAAGGGAGTACAGGGGGGGGACGGCAGGAGGGGCCGGCTAACAGGGCAGGGAGAGGGGAGAGTGGGGCCGCTATGGGTGGGAGGCAACGTGGAGAAGGGGGGGAGGGCACTGATAGAGTGGTTGGAGTGGAGGGGGGAGGGGAGACAGTACGTAAATTCCCTGTTGCACGAAGGGCACATGAGGTGGCAGCAGGAGCAGGGGAAATAGAGGAGTGATTGGGTAGGGCTTCAGCTTGGGTGGGACAGTGTTCGATGGAGTGATAGGGGCAGGTGGGGGAGAGACAAGGGGGTTAGCGGTTGAGGCTTCACATGGGGAGGGGCTTGGGGTTGGAAGGGAGGTACCTGGGACAGAGAGGGCAAGGGAAACCACGCATGGGACAAGAGTGGCAAGCGGTGATATGTGGGGCTGGTTCTCAAACAGGCAGGCGAGTTGGGTCGGAGCGTGCAGCAGTGGCGGGAGGAACGGAGGCAGATAGGGTGCGTGAAGGATGGTTGACAGTTAGGACACAAGGAGGTATGGAGGCAGGGAAAGGGGGGTGGTAGTGACAGCAGCAGCAAGTGGGGGTGCTAGAGGAGCAAGTCGGGTGGAACACGTGACAGGGGGAGTAGGGGAGGAGATGAGAGGGGCTGCTCTGGTTGGAGCCCCCCAACTGGGACAGGGCGAGGTCTCGTGACAAGGGAATTCGGACAGGTTAGGGTGGGGGTAGGAGGGCTGGCAGCAGGGGCAATTGGGGGCAGGGCGGCGGTGCCAAGTGGGGGGGAGGA